CTGTCTGTGTGTTTCAGTATGTCTGTGTGTGTGTCAGTATGTCTGTCTGTGCGTGTCAGTATGCCTGTCTGTGTGTGTGTCAGTATGTCTGTGTGTGTCAGCATGTCTGTGTGTGTGTGTCAGTATGTCTGTATATGTGCCTGTGTCAGTATGTCTGTCAGTACGTCTACCAGTGTATGTGTCTGTGTGTGTGTCAATATATGTACCTGTGTCAGTATGTCTGTCAGTGTATGTGCCTGTTTATCTGTATGTAGTCAGTGTATGTATCTGTGTATCTGCTTGTGCGTCAGAGTGTGTACCTGTGCATCTGAGCCGCAACTTTAAATACAAATACACCCCTCCATTCAAACTTCAACACCACATATAAAACACACTCCTGCATTGAAACGTCAACACTACATACAAGCACACTCCTACATTCAAAAACAAACACTACACATAGATGCACACTTGCATTCAAACTCCAGTACCATCCAGTAGCATTCACACATACAAACACATACTCCATACAAACACATCCTTACATTCAAACATACAAACATGGCTCAGTGCTAAATACAACCCTGCAAGCATGGGAAATTGGTAGAGTCCCAGCTGTCAAAGCATTGTTGGAGTTGCACGACAGATGGGGTTCTACCTTTAGTCCAACCTTGCAATTGGGGGTCCCAATAAAATTCATTCTACTTTAGTACCGCCACTGCGTTGGGATGGATGCCGTAATTGCATACCAGGGAGTGAGGGGCGAGAGCGGCAGGGCCCAGGGGGCCCAAGCAAACACTTGCCCAGGGTCCATTCGTTATTAAAGACGGCCCTGATGACCACCCTCCCTGGGCCTGAACAGACATCACCAGTGTACCATGCACCATACTCAACAGAAGCCCCCTAGGGACCCACTCATGATCTACCTAAACAAAAAATGTGCATAATCACAATCACTGTAAATGTGTAATATGTGCAATATCACTCTGTTTATTTTTCTAAAGTGACAGATATACATCAGCGTAATGCAATGCACAACAAAAATAAATAAATATATGAATAATAGCCCTAGCTAAGATACTTGCTGTATAAAAACATCTGTACACTTGCCTGCTTATCATATAATTGCACTAATTACACAGCCAGCTACAGACCCCAAGCAACTTAGTAGCTGGATAGGATGATGAAGTCAGACATGTTAATTAACTTCTTGTAATCATAACCCATGCTAATGTAACTTGTATTTACTAACATTCTGATCTAAGTAACATTACTTTAACATTTCAAAATGTGCCGATAATCTCAATGCTCCAACTGTTATGCCTGAAAATTATGCTCGGGGAATGCTATTGGGGCACCACGAGCTTGTATGTTATTTACTCAAAGAACGATAAAAATAAAGAATAAATAAAAAAAATAAAAAATGAAAAAATAGCAATATGTCACTTGCCCTCGAGCTGCACAGTATATATAACAGGTGACCTTTGTAAAAGTTTCACAGTTTAAAGGATTTTTATAGGGACAGTGAACTATGTAGGGAATTTCACAGTGGCCACAAACTAAGCAGTGCCGTTTATTTTACAAGAAAATTGAATTTATGAGGGATATAAAAAGAAATACAAGTTTCAATTGTACTGCACATAAATATATTATACATTATATTAGATACACTGAGAATAAAATTGTTATATATTGACACCTTGATAGTAACCATCATTATTTTAATTTATATTGTTGATAATCTTATTAAGTGTTTAATTAAGTTTGTTTCCTCAGTCCCTCCACTCTCTCCACCACCTATTTTCCGAGGGCACCCAAAGGTGTGACCATCATTTGAGGTACAGGTAGCTCTCTAGGGTGCAAAGAGGTCTGCATGGTTATAATAAACCCGTAGGGAGCCGAATCTCAAAGGAGGGGTCAAGGGTCTCCTTGGCCTCAGAAATGCTGGGCAGACACTTCAAAACGTGAAAATGTTAATTTATGTTTATTTTAATAATAAGACTAGCAGTCTTGTACATTGCAAGGACATACACGTCACATACATAGTTTTGTTTTAAATATGTTTATTTGTTTCATAACATATTCCAATGCAAACATATAACGTGTTAAAGCGGGTTAGTGCCTGCACTGAGGCCTGGTTTTCATTGCATGAATGGATATACATATCGTTGCCTGCGCAGAGGCTCATCAATCATGTCTATTGTTCTACAGCGTTTAATATAATATCACATTTGAGCGTGTTTTTGTTGTCTTTCTTTTTAGGGCATTGTTCAAACTTTGCAGTATCTAATAATCATTTGGCATTGAATGATAACATATCATTAAGTCCTTGCTGCCTGGCCTGATTCTTATCTGTCTATCTTGCCTATTTATAGCCAAATAAAATATATTAATATGTAAGCATGTAAACGTGTAAATGCTCATTTAAATAAAGTAATTAACTTATAATGCGTGGTCTGATTTAGACTGTTGCTAAAAGTGCAGTACTGGTAAAGGTTATATAATCGGACACCCTTTATAAAATGCTGTAGTCTTGTATATTAAACATGCATTAACTTTACGAGAATTTATGTTTCGTAACTTGAATCGAACATGGGGATGCCGCATTTAAACCTCTGTCCCAGCTGCTATAACTGTATAGAGGAAATTAACGTCTTTTATCTAGCGCATTTCTCCGGTACGGTTGTTGGAGCAGGTTTTTGCATCATGGATAGATAACATATTTTTTGTCTGCGTGTGTTGCAAATATAGTTAACAACTAAGCCTTGGCCTAGGTGTATATATTATTGCATTACCGGGCCAATCTTAAGTAGAGCCAGAAAATGGTCTACATCCAGCATGAATTGAATTCATAACTGCATGGTCTATAGCATTGCAATGCCTTATGCCCATGTTAAAGTAGGCACAAATCCTTATCATCCTCTACTATATGCATACAGGTTAGCTAATAGCTATGTACCAAGTCAACTTAGTTAAAGGCTGGTAAGCGGATCTTGCAATATTATTATTACCTTATGTGAAGATCCTTATTACACGGTCCAAGTAACATGCAGAGTTATAAAGAAAACTTATAAGGGCATATGAAATTTATAAAAATTTGGAAGCATGAAAATATGAGTCTGTTATGTACAGGCTTAGTGGCCGTAGCTGGGGACTCTATAATGGTCCGATCCGGGCCGTTCATGGCGCAGCAACAATGTGGTTCCAGTGTGCCAGGTTTCCTTCTGTCCTCCCCAGACAGGCACTGTCCACCGACTGGACTCTCCGTGGCCCTGTGGGCACTCAGGGCCAGAGACCGACCACAGAACCCCCACACCTAGGGTCTGAGCGCCCCCTGTCCCCTGCACCTCCCCAGCACCTCTCAGGCTTCCTTGGAGTGTAGGTCCCCGTCTCTCCCAGTGCCGGCCACACACTTGGGGGCGATGCGTGTCCCTCACGGCCACCGGTCCGCCGGAAGGCCCGCATCCCCCTGATCCACAGGACTCGCAGCACCAGGGACTGGACTCCCCGAGGACCCCACAGACTCGGTAAGTCCGGGCCGTCACTCCTTCGGTGGGCAGGTAGTCGGGATTACATTTAGTTGCCATCGTCATCCGTGGCCACATGTGCCAGCCCTTCCGGAGCCGTCAATAGTCCCCTTCATGCCGTTCTTTCGTCGTAATGAGCCCGTATTTAAAATGGTCCACGCAGCTCTTTTACCGTCGGGCTCCTTTTCGGCAGCCTTTGCCAGTTCAGGAGGGCAGTCTGGGCCCAGCACAGGGAGCTCACGTCTCGGCGTGTGTCGCCTCCATGAGGCCGGATAACCCCACCGGCTAGGGGGGGGGAGCGGGGCCGTGCCCCGAGCCAGCAGCTTCCGTTGCCAGAGTAAGTTGCTTTTGTTTCTCTTTAGGATCGCCACGTATTCTGGCCGACCCATGGTCACCCGGGTCTGGTTTTGTGGTCCTGGGTAGGCCTTGAAAGTCCTTTACGGTGCTCACAGCCTGCTTTTCGGGTCTAATTGGTATCTTTGTAAAGCTGATGTCATCCTCCTCATTATTTCAGCGGGAAATCTGGTCTTCAGGCCTTCGTGGTCGTTTCAGATCCAGATTAAGATGCATAAGTTTGTACATGACCATTCTTGTTTCCCCGTATTCTAAAAAGATCAAATCCCTACACCCGCCTATTCTACGAATACTCCACCTAATAATGCTTTAGTACTATTTTAATGACCGTTAAAGTGCAAGCTCACAAGCCCATCAAGGAAAACCACATAGGTGAGTGCTACACTTACAATTCACCTTGCTGCTTTCAGCTAAAATGCTAATTCTCTAATGAAACAGAAAGGGATATGTTTACAAATCTCTACACACACTTATTAACCCTTAACAGGGAACAGATAGGGTGGGCGGTAGCACTGTAATATTCTCCATACCATAAGGCAGTTTTTTCAAACTTTTTTTTCCTCGACACAGAATATTTTTGGCCTGGCAACACTTGGCGTGATGTTCATTCATTTTCATTCAAGTTTTTCCAGACTGATTTTAAAATGTCTGTACCAGACTTGGAGCCAGAATATATATTTTTTTCCCCTTAAAGACTCATGATCATCAAAATAAAAATCGAAATTGTGTAAGATATCATTTTAGCCACCATTCGATGTATTTACTAGTTCGGTGGAGGATGTGTGGCTTCCCTGAGTCCCACTGATAGATGCTCACTCTTCTCTCCTACCTGGTTGCTGAGAGAAACGGACATAAGATGAAGGCATGTAAAATTGGAGAACACCTTTACTTGTTCACAGTTGAGGCAAATTATCCAGTAAGAAAAAATAAAAAATAAAATAGAAAGACTAGCAACAGCACCAAGTAAAGAATAGTACAACACAAATTGCAAAGAACGCAGGCTGTTTTTATTAATGCATATTAAAACAAAAGTTAGAGGCAGTTTTCGAAGCTTGGGAGACAATATTACATGGAAGCATGTAGCATAATATTTAGATTGGTTAAGTAAGCTTGACAAATTTATTTTCCCATTTTAGCAAAATGTGCACTTGCATTTGGTGTTACTGATTACAGGACTGTACACATTAGAAAGTAGTCTGAATAGATTAACTGAAAGATGAAATCCAGAGTGTTACAGGGTTTTTTTTGGTTGGTTTTAAAATCCTTATAGAGCTGTAGAGTTGAGCTACGTTCTCTGGAGGATTCTACCTGAAATTAATGCTAGCTACAGATTATTATTTTTTAAATTTCTGTGTCATTTCTATACATAGATGTGGCCAGAGGCGTAACTTGAAACCACGAGGCCCTGGTGCGAAGATTGCCCTAGGCCCCCCACCCCCATGCATTGCACAAGCCCTCAGCCCCTCCATGTCTCTCATTCACGTCCCTCAGCCCCCCCCATGTGTCTCATTCACGTCCCTCAGCCCCTCCATGTCTCTCATTCACGTTCCTCACCCCTCTATGTGTCTCATTCACATCCCTCAGCCCCTCCATGTGTCTCATTCACGTCCCTCAGCCCCTCCATGTGTCTCATTCACGTCCCTCAGCCCCTCCATGTGTCTCATTCACATCCCTCAGCCCCTCCATGTGTCTCATTCACGTCCCTCAGCCCCTCCATGTGTCTCATTCACATCCCTCAGCCCCTCCATGTGTCTCATTCACATCCCTCAGCCCCTCCATGTGTCTCATTCACGTCCCTCAGCCCCTCCATGTGTCTCATTCACATCCCTCAGCCCCTCCATGTGTCTCATTCACGTCCCTCAGCCCCTCCATGTGTCTGATTCACGTCCCCCAGCCCCTCCATGTGTCTGATTCACGTCCCTCAGCCCCTCCATGTGTCTGATTCACGTCCCTCAGCCCCTCCATGTTTCTCATTCACATCTCTCAGCCCCTCCATGTGTCTCATTCACATCCCTCAGGCCCTCCATGTGTCTGATACATGTCTCTCAGCCCCTCCATGTGTCTCATTCACATCCCTCAGTCCCTCTATGTGTCTCATTCACATCCCTCAGCCCCTCCATGTGTCTGATTCTCAGTTTTTTTGATTAAAAATATACTACAGTCAGTTTGCAGAATAAGCCTGGTGCCTATTAATAAATACCACAGTCAATGTGCCCATTAATATCACATCACGTTTTCCATTTAATAATTTGCTACTTAATGTGGATTGTAGTGATCACTCTTTCTAAAGCATGAATGCCGGTTAGTGATCCTGCAATGATCTGCACACCCTAGAAAAATTTGACTGACTAAATGTCCAAACATTATTTTTTGTTTATGTGGACATCATGAATGTTGGTATTCGTAACAACTCCTACTCTCCATTGCAAACAGTACTTAAAGCAATACAGAGGGGGAAATAACTTACAATATAATTCCTTGTAAAGGTCTGCATTATATTCCTTTAGACAGTTTTTGAATGCTAGAACTGCATTTTTCCCTTTTGCTAGAATGGTTTTGATCAGTTCTTGTGCTTGCTTTTTGCTTTATGGACTCGTTTTCAGGTGTGGTTATGATATGAGATGAATGAAGGTCATTCAGAATGAGAAGTGAGCAGGTCAAGCATTGTGACAGAGCGACTCGACTTTTTCTGATCACAATGATTTCATCTACAGAAAGAAAATAGTATTGGCAAATTAGCTTTTACAGACAAGCATTACAAAGATGTTATGTGGGGTTTGTAATTCAGCCATTGTATACACTGTTTCCATTATCTTTAGTTTGAGAAACAGAAGATTTTGTTTGAAGCTAGCTGGGATTTGCAACAGGTCTTTTTTGCTCATAAAACTTTTCTTTACCAAATTTCACATTATTTATATCAGCGGTAACAAAACTTTGTTTCTTTCCCTAGTGTGCAGCAGCAAACAGGCAGCAGGTACCGGCTTCATTTAGTTGCTCCCCGCCTACCATTTAGCTCCACCCGCTGTATATTTAGCTCTGCCCTCGGTGTTTGACATTATACCTTTCACCGCCGGCCCCTGTGTGTGCAAGATTTGTCAGCCGCCGAATGCCCCCTGTTGCAATGGTGCCCTATGCAACTGCACAGCTCACACACTCCTAAAGTCGGCCCTGGGTGTGAGGATACAACGACCTATCATCAACAAAATGAGATTGTCTTTTACTTTGTATAAGCTGGGTAATAACAGCTGCTTCGAATAGATCCAGGTCACTCAGAACAAGGTTACAAATCACAGCTAAGATAAACTGATCAATCTGTTAGATATTAAATGATATAATCTTGATATACAGGGGTCAAGTCCTGGGGAAAAAAGTGTGGGAACTCACCCAAGATTCCCCCCCCTTTAAAAAAAAAAAAATTACACTCCAATGCATATAGTGCAGTGCAGGGTGTGTATAATGAATGTAGTGTGTTTGTAGTGAATGCAGAGTGTGTATAATGAATGCAGTGTGTTTTTAGTGAGTGCAGAGTGTGTACAATGAATGCAGTATGAGTGTGTTTGTAGTGAATGCAGAGTGTGTATAGTGAATGTAGTGTGTAGTGAGGCAGAATGTGCATAATAAAATGCAGAGTGTGTATAGTGAATGCAGAGGGTGTATAGTGAATGTAGTGTGTTTGTAGTGAGTGAAGAGTGTGTATAATGAATGCAGCGTGTTCTGGATGATGTGTGTGTGCACGCTGGATGACGTGTGTGTGAGTGCTGGATGATGTGTGTGTGTGAGTGCTTGATGATGGGTGTGTGTGAGTGCTTGATGATGGGTGTGTGAGTGCTGGATGATGTGTGTGTGAGTGCTGGATGATGTGTGTGTGTGAGTGCTGGATGATGTGTGTGTGTGTGCTGGATGATGTGTGTGTGTTGGATGATGTGTGTGTGTGTGTGTGTGCTGGATGATGTGTGTGTGAGTGCTGGATGATGTGTGTGTAAGTGCTGGAGGATGTGTATGTGTGTGCTGGATGATTGTGTGTGTGTGTGCTGGATGATGTGTGTGCTGGATGTTGTGTGTGTGCTGGATGATGTGTGTGTGTGGAGTGCTGGATGATGTGTGTGTGTGTGTGTTCTGGATGATGTGCGTGAAATGGATGATGTGTGTGTGAGTGCTGGATGATGTGTGTGTGTGCTGGATGATGGGTGTTTGTGTGAGTGCTGGATGATGTGTGTGTGTGCTGGATGATGTGTGTGTGAGTGCTGGATGATGGGTGTGTGTGTGCTGGATGATGGGTGTGTGTGTGTATGGATGATGGGTGTGTGCTGGATGATGTGTGTGTGTGCTGGATGATGTGTGTGTGAGTGCTGGATGATGGGTGTGTTTGTGTGAGTGTTGGATGATGTGTGTGTGAGTGTTGGATGATGGTGTTTGTGTGAGTGCTGTTGTGTGTGTGCTGGATGATGTGTGTGCGCGCGCTGGATGACGTGTGTGTGAGTGCTGGATGATGTGTGTGTGTGCTGGATGATGTGTGTGTGTGTGTGCTGGATGATGTGTGTGCGTGTGTGCTGGATGATGTGTGTGCGAGTGCTGGATGATGTGTGTGCGTGTGTGCTGGATGATGTGTGTGCGAGTGCTGGATGATGTGTGTGTGTGAGTGCTGGATGATGTGTGTGTGTGTGCTGGATGATGTGTGTGTGTGTTGGATGATGTGTGTGTGAGTGCTGGATGATGTGTGTGTGTGTGCTGGATGATGTGTGTGTGTGTTGGATGATGTGTGTGTGTGTGCTGGATGATGGGCAAGTTTGTGGGAGGCTGGAGGATGGGTGTTTGTGTGAGTGCTGGATGATGTGTGTGCGAGTGCTGGATGATGTGTGCGCTGGATGATGTGTGTGTGTGCGCTGGATGATGTGTGTGTGAGTGCTGGATGATTGTGTGTGTGTGTGCTGGATGATTGTGTGTGCGAGTGCTGGATGATGTGTGTGTGTGTGTGCTGGATGATGTGTGTGTGTGCTGGATGATGTGTGTGTGTGCTGGATGATGTGTGTGTGAGTGCTGGATGATGGGTGTTTTTGTGAGTGCTGGATGATGGGTGTGTGTGCTGGATGATGGGTGTTTGTGTGAGTGCTGGATGATATGTGTGTGAGTGCTGGATGATGGGTGTGTGTGTGTGTGCTGGATGATGTGTGTGTGAGCGCTGGATGATGTGTGTGTGTGAGTGATGGATGATGTGTGTGTGTGTGAGTGATGGATGATGGGGGGGGGGAGGAGCATTTTTTTTTTACTTTATGTGTCTATATATTTTTATTTTATCCCCCCTCCCTGCTTCTTACCTTGTCAGGGCGGGGGGAGATCGCCTGGTGGTCCGGTGGTATGCTGGAGGGAGCCAGCCGCTGCACACAGGAGCCATCACACACTGTGTTCCCTCTCCAGCTCTAACTCTTGCGAGACTCGCCTGTGCGGAGCGTTGCCATGGTAACAGCCGCGGGTCTCGCGAGAGTTATAGCTGGAGAAGGAACACAGCGTGTGCTGGCCCCTCAGTGCAGGTAGCAGGGCCGGTCCTGCAGGACAGGTAACGGGAACGGCGTTCCTACTTTGGAAAAAGTGCAGGAACGCCGTTCCCATGCGTTCCTGCAGGACTCGAGCCCTGTTGATATAGCATTTTTCTGACTTACCTGATCAAGGAGTTGTGGATATTTTTCTTGGATTTCTTGAACTAAAGGCTGACCTTTTATATGCAATAAAAATTCACATCTGAAGGGAAAACACCAAAGAACATTCAGTTCCACTAAACACTTTACAAACGAAATAATCTTTTGTTAAAAAACAAACAAAAAAAACCTCAACCCATTGTATAGAGTACGACCCATTGCAGGCCGGTGGAAATCCAGTATTGAAGATTGTGCCATAAATCTCCCAGTGCACTGCAAGATGTTTGATAGCAGCAGCTTATTATAGCAGTGGCTGCACAGAAGATGACTAGAGCCATCCGAAGCTGGGGTAAACCAAGGACGAATGTAATAAGTTAAAAGTTTAGAACTCAGCATTGAGTTGAAATCTGTCAGTCCACTACTTGAATTCAGCCGATACAAGCATGCCTCCTAGACAAGCTTACATAATAATAAAGGAGCAAGAGATATCACAAGTAGACTCCTCTCTACTCCTTGACATCTTAGATTATATATATATATAGTCTTATGGCTTGACTGGTGTGCAGATTTTTGTTTAACATTGTATTACCTCTATATATATATTAAATTAAAATGTAGCGTTTGTTTCCTCATAGTTAAAATGTGCACATGATAAAGTGTATACAGTGATGCCAAAAAAGGTCGACGTTTCAGTCCCAGTGTGGGACTTTCCTCAGAACAGCATAACATAGAATCACATAATTATCAAATATATAGGTATAAGGTACAATTAGTGAACTCACCCCAGGTGTATTGACCAGCCTTCCATGGCATCCCTAAATGCTGTATACGCATCTGTAACTCTAATCCAACCCACCACGGAAGTTCAGGGCATTTGGGTTGCCATGGTACCCTCCGTAGCTAACCTCTGATTGGTGGGAAGCAGTCCATCATCTTTTTACCACACGTGGTTCCTGTTGGACTTGTTTTTCTATAGCAATGGATTATACACCTAATAGGTGTCTCCGATCTGGTTGCCGATACCATGGCAACCTAGCCGGCTGTGTTATATGAACATAGGGGATATACATAGGAGAAAAGACATGGTGCCGGGCAATAAAGTAATAATGTGAATAAACGGTGAAGATACAATTAACAGATAAGGTGCATTAAAGATATAAAAATGCCATAAGCATGTATGGGTTAGTAAAGTGCTTTCTTACAATTAAAGTGCACACACTTTAATAGAAAGAACACACACACACTGTGTGCTGCACGCACTCGCTCAGCTTCATGAGGACATCGGCTTTGGCGCCAGGAGCAACGCCCTCGCGGTCAGCCAATCTTCTAAGTGTCCACGCGGTGAGTGCTCCAATTGGATTGCTTGTGTGCAAGGACATTATCGGCGTGGATACCTACTACATAAGCGGTTCTAAGGTAATGGCTTGGCGCATGCGAAACCAATAGTGTACTGGACGTCTGCGATTTTTGGGCTGCACCTGCTTCCCCATCCTTCCTTCCTATTTTTTTATTTTATTTTTTTTGTGGTCTTTTATTGGGGTCAAGGTAACCTGGGGTGGACTATATTGTATGTTTATGTTCTGGCACCTTAGGGCGTTTGAGACAGGAGATTTTTGGTTACAAGTTATATGGTTTTCAAGGTCAGTTAAGTTATTGTTACAACATGTTTTTAAACTAAATAAAGGACCACAGTCTTTTCTTCCACATATCTGTCTCGGTGTGTTTATTATTGCAGTTAATAGTGTAGCCGAGTTAGTGTGACATGATTAGGGGGTTAGAGTGACATTTCTAACAGAGTAAGTGTGACAGGGTTAGGGGTTAGTGAGATAGGGTTAGTGTGACAGGGTTAGGGGGTTAGTGAGATAGGGTTAGTGAGATAGGGGCTAGTGTGACAGAGTTAGGGGGTTAGTGAGATAGGGTTAGTGTGACAAGGTTAGGGGTTAGTATGACAGGTTTAGGGGGTTAATACAATATGGTCAGTGGGATAAGTGTGACAGGGTTAATGAGGGTTAGTGAAACAGGATTAGGGGGTTAGTGAAACAGGGTTTAGGGGGTTAGTATAATATGGTTAGTTGGATTAGTGTGAGAAGGTTAATGAAACAGGGTTAGGTGGGTTAGTGTGACAGGGTTAGGGGGTTAGTGTGACGGGGTTAGGGAGGTTAGTGTGACATGTCTACTGGGTTTAGTGTGATAGGGTTAGGGGTTAGTGTGACAGGGTTATGGGGGATTAGTGTAGCAGGGTTAGTGTGACAGGGTTAGGGGGTTAGTGTGACATGTCTATGGGGGTTAGTGTTCAGGGTTAGGAGGTTAATGTGACTGGGTTTAGGGTGTTTGTATAATATGGTTCGTGGGGTAGTGTGACAGGGTTAGGGAAACAGGGTTAGGGGGGTCAGTGTAACATGTCTACGGGGATTAGTGTGATAGGGTTAGGGGGTTAGTGTGATAGAGTTAGTGTGAGAAGGTTAAGGGGTTAGTGTGACTGGGTTAGGGGGTTAGTATAATATGGTTAGGGGGTTAGTGTGACAGGGTGTATAATATGGAGTGTGACAGGGTTAGTTAGAAAGAGGCAGGGATGTATTTACCACAAGGCAAACAAGGCATTTGCCTAGGGTGGCACTTTCAGGTGGGGGACGCCAAAAAATGCCTCCCCAGCTCCCAGACAAATGCATTGTTTGCCTCGTGTCCACCTTACTGTGAGCGAGTGAGTGAGTGGTGAGTGTAGCTGTCGTTGTGTGTCTGTGAGTGAGAATGAGTGTGCCTGTGAGTGTGTGTCAGTGTGTGTGTGTCATTTTATGTGTATCTAAGAGTGTGTGCCTGTTAGTGAGTGGGTGTGTCAGTGTGTGTCTGTCAGTGAAAGTGTGTGTTGGTTAAACAGTGTGTGCTTATGACTGTATGTGTGTGCCAATGACTGTGTATCTGTCAGTGAGTGTATATCGGTGCATGTATCAATGAGGGCATGTGTCTGTCAGTCACAAAAATGGCCATGACACGAATGTTTAGATTTTGGGGGTGCCCAAATTTAGTCGTGCCTAGGGCAGCACAAATCCAAAATACACCACTGGAAAGAGGGTGGGGGTTAGTGTGATTGGGTTAGGGTGTTGGTGTGACTTAGGGGGGTTAGTGTGACAAGGTTAGGGTGTTAGTATAATATGGTTAGGGGGTTAGTGTGACAGGGTTAAGGAGGGTTAGTGAAAGAGGGTTAGGGGGTTAGTGTGTTAGTGTGGCTGTTAGTGTGACAGGCTTAGGGGTTAGTATGACAGGGTTAGGGATAAAGATAGGGATAGCAATGATGTTCCTACCATGCTTTTAAAGCAAATGTGAGGCATACATAAATCTAAAGATGGACTTTAAATGGTATTTGTCACTTTACCTATACATTATACTCCCTCGAAAAAGCATAACATTTTATCTGTACATTATTCTATGTGCTTTAGGTAAACAGGCCTTTCTCCAACCTGTCATTTCTTACCCATATATTCTATGCCACAGATGTGACGAACTTAGGAGAACTCCTACAGGTGATGCTTCTTCTCTCCACACATAGCAACCAAATTGCATATTCTGTGCGAGACGATGCTGTCATCGCTGGCTAGGGAGTATTGGAACAGAGTGACTCCTGTCACTCCATTTAGACACCAGCATGGCCAAATTAAAGGAGACTGCGGGTGGAGCAAGGGTTGACTGGAGATGGGTATTACATGAAGTCTTACACCCACAAAGCTAAAGACATGGCAGTGCTGGATTGGAGGCAAGGGGAGTTTATCTCAAAACGTTGCATTAAATATAATCCTGTATATTTGTGATATATTATGTATTTACCAACACTTTATCTTTAATGAAAATGTAATCTCTTTCACCAGCATGAAAATGATTACTGCAAAAATGGCAACTACCTGCCACATTGCTACATATTTTGAGACCATATCAATAAAAAGTGGGAACAATTTTGTATTAATAATATCCTCCCAGAAAAAGACTTCCTCTCCTTTGGGATTTATGCTTCCTTGTATATTTACTGTGTAACACCACGTGAACTTCTATTCATTTTGACAATGGAAGAAAAGTAGGGTCACAAGTGTCACAATCTAGAAAAGGAAAAAAAATGTTTTAGTTAGTCATCAGTAAAGCTGCTCTGAAAAACTCCTTATGAAATACTCACAAAATTCACTGAAATTCCAACTCAGTCAAGGGACTTCTTTGTGTACACCTATTTGTCGAGCGGATGTAAAAATGCAGAGCTAAGCCTTGTCTAGCCCCTATTCATCACTAGTGATGGCGGAAGGGAAAAAGACCGTCTATTTAGAATACAGAGATATCCTGCATAGTTTTACAGCACTGATGTCAGCTCCTAGAATCTGAAGCGTCAGTGCTCAAAAGGACCGGATGGACCAAAGTGGCAGCACCCACAAAGGACAGATTCACTTTCCCCTGAACCACCTGACACCCAGCTGAGATGTGACCGTCTGGGGTCTTTGTAATTAATGCAGACATCGGACGATGACAGATCTGCTTTAACTCTAAAGATAAATCTTGTATCATTAGTTTTTGTAGGGATACTCTAGGCACCGTAATAGCTACATGCCATTGAAGTGTTTATTGTGTTTATGGTGCCTGGAGTCCAAAAGCACTGTTCTATAGTTCAAATTGTTAAACCATTTTTAATCAGTTTAACACTGAAAGAATTAATCAAAGCACCATGACCACTTTAGTGATTAGAATTGGTCATGGTGCTTGGAAGTCCATATGCACAGCGCTTCAGTAAGAATATTTTGTTTTGTTACCAGAGGTGTAAACCTACCTCTTGCAAGATCATTAGCAAGCCTCAAAAACTAGAGTTCTGGGCTAAAGTTAAATCTGTGCATGAAAAAAAAACAAAATAATAAAGTCCATCAGCACACATAGATTCCAATGGCGCCACAGTCCCCTCTCAATACCATCCTAAGCCCTCCCTTGATGACATCCCTCTTCTCCTGCAGTCACGAGGAGTAATATCCCAGAAGGATGATTGGGTTGCAGGGAGAACTTGGATGTGAGGGGAGCTTACTCTTATTTCACTTCTCTTTACCAGGAAGGTCAATACAAAAAAAAAAATACATTGTTGTGGTTGGAGCAACCCTAGCCTGGAGTCTACTGCTTGCTCCTTGCCTCTCCTGTTCTGGTATGGAGAGCCGAGAGCTACTGCTAGGAGCTTCTGTTAGCTCCCCAGAGCTAAGCTCTGCTGTGAATGGCAGCTCATTGACTGCACCACCAGACATAGCTCAGCAGAGAGGAAGTGTCTGATGTCTGATGGACCCAACATAAGAAGACAAAACTGTTGGCAAGTGATTTGACTACTTACAATAGCAGTGACAGGGCACTCTTGGCACCATAAACCACTACAGAATACTATAGAGGTTATTTGAGTTTCTTTAAACCATGGGTTGTCAACCTGGTCCCTACTGCCCACTAGTGGGAATTTCAGGATTCCAGGTGGGCGGTAGGGGTTTCAGCGGGACAGAAAGCTAATGCTAAATCTTCCTTTTGAGAGAGAGGACGGGCGGGCGCGGGTGCACAAACACACATGAAAGTACGAACGCACACAAACTCATGCAAACGCGAGTGAAGGGGAGGAGTGGGAGCTGATGTACGATAGCAGGGACAGGCAGAAGCAGGCAGAAGCGGAACAGAGCAGTTGTAAAATAGGAGAAAGAAAAGTTATAGGCAGGAGGAGAGAATTGTTGTTGGCTAATAATAAGTGGGCTACCTAGCTCAGCCTTCCTGCTGGCCATTGTTATAAGGAAGGTAAAAAAATAGAAAAAATGAAAAAAAGGTGGGGAGGGGAATTGAGGAGGGGAGCTGATGCACAGATGAGAAATCATATTATGAGCAAACAGAGAAGTCGTCTGAATATCACCGAAAGAGGAGACCTTTGTTTGTTCCTTACGAAAATCAAACCAGATATCAAATATTTAGTCTCGCAGCATCAACCTCAAGAATCTCATTAATCACTAGTTAAAGGTAATTTCAATTTACTTTATTTTTTTCTCATTAAACTTTATAAAGTTAAAAACATTATAAACATGCATTAAGTAGAAATTAAAAATATAAATCTATGGACGAGATTAATGCAGTGTTCACCTCCTACTTCTCAGAACTATACAACCACTCCCCCCGCCTCCGGGCCACCAATGCGGCCTACATGGCAGACATACACCAATTTCTCTCTGAACTCACTATTCCAAAAGTGAACGGGGCGGAAGCGGACGCACTACAAGAACCAATCACACAACTTGAGGTAGAGGCAGCCATAACTTCCCTAAAGGGCAGTAAAGCACCAGGCCCAGACGGCTACGACATTAGTTATTACAAACAATTTAAAGATGTATTAGCCCCCCAACTGACGACCCTTAGCAACCATTTTCTGCAGGGCGGGACGCCTGATGGCGACATGGCTACAGCAAATGTTGTCCTTCTACCAAAACCGGGGAAGGACGACACACTGGCCTCGAGCTACAGGCCAATCTCACTTATCAACACTGACCTCAAAATATTCGCCAAAATCCTGGCAACCAGACTCAACGTGCTGCTCCCGCGCTTGATCCACCCAGATCAGGTGGGCTTTATGCCAGGCCGCCAATTGTATGAAAACACGAGACGCGGGGTCAGCACAATCTGGCACATGGGGGAATCCGGAACGCCTTCTCTGGCGCTCTCATTAGACGCGGAGAAGGCGTTTGACAGGGTGCTGTGGCCTTATTTATTTGAATTACTTAGATTCCAGGGGTTCCCGGAGACATTTGTAACAGCTATACAAGCACTATACACCGACCTGAGGGCACAAATACTCATCACAGGGGCACGAACAACGCCCTTTACCCTGGGAAACGGCACCAGACAGGGTTGCCCACTGTCCCCCCTGCTCTTCGCCTTAACCTTGGAACCACTACTACAAGCCATCAGACAGCACCCGCAAATCAGGGGCGTCACGGTGGGGGGAACACCATTCACGGTCTCGGCTTATGCCGACGACGTCATGCTGACACTCAGGGAACCGAGACACTCTCTCCACCACTTATCGCTCGTATTGGAGCGATTTGGCAACATAGCAGGGTACAAAATTAACTACTCTAAATCAGTAGCAATGCCCTTCCACCTGGAACCCCCGGAACTCACCCACATACGCGACACGTATCACTTCAAGTTAACTACTGACGAACTCATGTATCTAGGGGTACGGCTAACAGCGAACACAGCCTCCCTATTTGCCCGTAACTATACACCCCTCTTCCGGACCCTTCTCGCAGAACTAGAGCAGTGGACGGATAGGCCCATCTCCTGGCTGGGGAGAGTAAACTCTATAAAAATGAACGTGCTGCCGAGGATACTATTCCTCTTTCAAGCACTCCCGATAAGAGTAACACGGAGGGACCTGACGGGAATACAAAGAGCGATCGATGCCTTCATATGGCACAACAAACGCCCAAGAACTGCGCGAGCCCTCATGTACAGACCGAAATCCAGGGGGGGGCTGGGACTACCCAACGTTTACACCTATTATCTTGCCGCACAGCTGACACAGGTGATACAGTGGCACACGCCTCCAGACAGGAGACGATGGGTGGACCTAGAGTCACTGATGACGGGTCAGGATCTCCCACAATTCTCCATATGGGCACCCAAAACACAAAGAGCCATACTAAGAACAGCGAACCCAGCCATACTCAACTCTATACAGATCTGGGACCAAACCAAAATGAAATACGCCCTCAGCTCTCATCCGTCCCCCATGACACCAATCCTTAGGAATAGGGCCTTCCCTCCCGGAATGCAGGCAAGAGACTATAAGGGGATAGAGGCCACAGGACTCCAACGATACGTACACCTATATGTGAACCAAAAAGTAGTCACATACGAACACCTAGCCACCAAAGCTAACTTACGAACAAGAGACTACTTTAGATACATGCAGATCCGTGACTTTGCACAAAACCCTGACATACGGAAGGCGGCTCTGACACCACTAACCTTTTTCGAGAAACTATGTTACAATGAGACAACCCAAACTAAACTCATTACGCTACTGTACAACCACCTCAACGGGAACTCGAATGAGGAGGGCGCACTGCGATACACCGACCAGTGGGAAGCCGACCTGGGGGAGGTGTTAGAGGGAGCGGAGTGGCAAGATATCTGGGAAGCATGTAGCAAAACCACAATATGTGTGACACTCCAAGAGCAATCTTATAAAACTCTATTTCGATGGTACATGACCCCAGTGAAACAGAGACATATGGGACTAAGCCCCACAGATGACTGCTGGCACGGGTGTGGGGAACGGGGCACGTATATACATATGTGGTGGGGCTGCCCGAAGGTCGCAGAATACTGGCGCAACGTTGTGGAGCTCAGCTCCCAAATCCTACAAAGGCGACTGGGGCTAGACCCATGGGCATGCCTACTTTCAAGACCCACAAAAGACCTACCCAGACACGACCAAAGACTACTTAACATGCTCTATTTAGCGGCGCGGAGATCCCTGGCACAACACTGGTCATGTCCAGACCTCCCACATATATCCCTGGTTAAGACAAAAATACGAGACAACTACATTATGGATAAACTGACTTCTCAGGTGCGAAACACAATGGCCAAATTCCAAAAAGTCTGGGACCTATGGGAGCAGTACGACACCTAGAACACCACCCCGGGACGCAGGGCAGCATCCACGCAACTCTAAATTGGCGGGGCTAGGACCCACCCAGCGCCAACCACCACACCATTACTCGACCAGGCGAAAGAGACACCACTACTAGATGAGCGCGGGGCCAGGCCCAGTACATAAATCACAGCTTAAGGGAGTTGACCACCCCCATCGGTGATCCATCCGGTAACCACACCAAACTGAAACTGTTTAAACACGCACGTACTTGTCTCCAATTCCTTTACTTTTCCTTTCTATCTATCCCTCGAGGGCAAGCACCTTAGATCAGCAAGATGGCAGGAGGGGAAAGGCAAATAATAATATGCCAACATTTTGCAGAGCGTAGAAGGGAGGGAGAGTGCAATTGCGCACCCCAGGAAGCGGGGGGATTGACACTCTACTCTCTAAGCCTAACTCCTCACAACAAAGCAATTGTATATAGTTAACACCGCTTGCCTCTTATACCAAAAATTTAGACGAAGACACCCACAGAAAACTTAATGTATATAATATGCCTAAACTGACAACTGTCAAATGCATGCACTGCGCTAATGTATGACACTGCGCTGTCTTATTCGAAAATGTACATGCTTTCATGTTTATCATCTACTTCGTCAAACCAAAAATAAAGAATTTAAAAAAAAAAAAATATATAAATCTATGTACATTTATTTATTTTAAAACACCCTCCTTTCTAAAAAAAAATCCGCACTTGCGCGAAAACTGGTGGGCGGTAAGGACATTTTTCCATCAAGAAAGATGCATTTGTGGGCAGTAGGTATAAAAAGGCTGACTACCCCTGCTTTAAACGGATCTAAAATTGTTTAATACTAAACTTTGAGACAGCACCTGGCAACTACAGGCACCACATCAAGGAGATGAGGTTAAAAAATAAATAAAAAAGGAACCACATTATCTATAATGTATCTAGGTAAAAACAGAATTGAAAAGTAATGGCAAGATTAAAGAACAAAAACAAAAACATCAAAGGATTGTTTCAATGATAAAAAGAGCTAAAGAAGGAAGGAAAAATACAAAGTGATAATAAAAATAAATAAAAGACCACTGGCAAAAGCCAAGGTTCAGAAATTGAAAGATGTCAAAAAAATAAACAACAAAATGAAATTGGGGTCACTCCATCTCAGGTGTTCCAATAATTGTAACGTATCCCTATAATAATATCACAACATAAAACTGTTCAACTCCAGGGCAACTAATATGTAAAGCAAGATAATATGTCTCCTTCAATTTATTTTTTTGTCAAATAATTTTTTGAAGCAAATAGATAGACATAGAAAAGAAAAATAGGTTTATGTCAGCAGTAACCGAATAATGAATCAGTATACAGCGACACTGATACATATTCCCATGAGTAACTGTCTCATTTTTATGCTAAGTAAGAAATAAAATAGACAAGCTGTGCTCAAGGTTTAGTGGTCAAGTACAGAAGAATTGATATGTCAGCTAAGTGGCAAAACATGCGGTCTAATGAGTCAGAGTATTTTTACTGACAGCTTTAGCGATAACAAACTTATGTGAACTCTACAAGTGATATACCATGGCAGCTACTCCCAGGCGGTGAGATAAGTGTGGAGTACCCCCAGGGCCGTCTATAATATGATTAGGACCCTGGGCAATGCATTTTCTTAGGCCCCCTGGGCCCTGCTCCTCCCCCCCCAACCCCTTAATTACACCCAACCCGCAATCACACTGACAGACATACTGACACATACGCACACAGACAGACATATTAAAACATTCTCAGATACATACTGACATACACATACACTGACACACAAATATATACTGGCAGACATATTGACACACACAGACACACATTCATGAATACACAGACACATAAACTGACAAATATACTGACACACACAGACGCATACACTGACAGACCTATTGACACACACAAACAGGCATTCTGACACAGACACACAGGCAGACATACTGACAAACACACAGACATACTGACACACAGACAGACATACTGACACACACACACAGGCAGACATACTGACACACACAGACATACTGACACACACACACACATGCATACTGACAAACACACACACAGGCATACTGACATATACAGACAGACACAGACAGACACAGACATACACACAGACATACTGACACACACACACACATAGAGACATACACACACACACACACAGACAGACATACACACACAGACAGACATAGACACTCACACAGACATACTGACATACACACACACACACAGACAGACATAGACACACAGAGACATACTGACACACACACACACAGACATACTGGCATGCACACAGACAGACATAGACACACACACACACAGACATACTGACATGCACACAGACAGACAAAGACACACACACACACACACAGACATACATTTAGCCACCCTCCAGGTTCTTACCTTTTCCTGGAGGGTGGTTTCCCTGGGGTCCAGTGGCAGGCTGAGGCAGATGGGAGTTCTCCTCTGGAACTCCCCTCCTCCCTGCCTTCCTCCTCCCGCGCGGTTGTGATCACCGGTGGGAGGAAGTGACGCGCGGCACTCACTTCCTCCCAGCCGGCTGCCGAACAGGAAGGGGCCCGGTCGCGCTGTTTAAGTGTCACAGCGCCCGACCGGGCCCCTTCTGCCACATGCCCACCGGGTGGCCCTTAGTGCATGGGCCACCCGGGGGCCCTCTTTAGCGTGCGGCTGGTGTGGCTCTGTGCAGCCGCCCCGCCGGGTCCAAGGGGAGCTGCTCAAATCGCGGGGCCCACGAGGCAGCTGCTCTGGGGCCCCTCAGGAGCAACTGGGCCCGGGGCAGCTGCCCCGTTTGCCCCGCGTTAAAGACGGCCCTGAGTACCCCAGTACCACATGAACCAGGGGGCCCCGGTGCGAAAATTGATCCGTGGGCCCCGCTCCCCCCCACACTTACTCTGCGTGGGCCGGGGTCGCAACACATGGCGGCGGCACCTGGTCGCAGGGGTTGCATGACTGCAACCCCTGCGACCGCGATATGTACGCCAGTGCATGCAGATGCACACAAACTTAAAGGACCACTACAGACACCCAGATCACATCAACTCAATGAAGTGGTCTGGTTGTCAGGTCCCTCTAGTTTAAACCCTGCAGCTGAAAACATAGCAGTTTCAGAGAATTATTATCTCAGAAGTATTATCTCAGCACTGCAAAAAATAAATAATGTAAAACAGACAAAATTAATACTTAACTCCACTGTTGTGGGCGATTTAAGCACCCTGAGATGGGTGCACATTCAGACATCTACACATTAATGTAGGCGGTGCTGGGCTCTGGGCAAAGCATATAAAGGTTTAAAAGAGAAACACAGAACATTAAAAACAATGTATAGCGTAAACAATAGCTTAGATTTTGTTACCGATTCTTTTAGGCAAATATTATTATATTCCACTTTAAATACCAAGAACAGACTACTTTGTGCATCACACTATTGAAGATTGTTTGAAAAGTCAAAAGGCAAATGACGTCTGTTCATTAAAGATCAACCGTAATTTCCATTGAATCAAAAGACAGCTTAAATATAAACCTTCTTTGTTCCAGGGGATTTCCAGTATGTTACAAATATGAATACAGAAACACAACTACACAGACAATAGGCCTTTGTATTCATGGAGCTTTTCATGCGGCACCCATTTCCCTTTCTCCTTTTTCCCCTTTTTTGATTTGCATCTAGGTAGCAGATGGTCAGCAGAGCATTAGGCATTTTTACGCTTTTTAAAATTTTGGTTTATTTTGTTTCATTGGGCTTGGCTTTATTAGTATTGGGCTTGGTTATATTATAATCATGCTGGAGGTTTCATAGTGGCTAATAGCAGTTGGTGGGCTGGTCGGGCAGACCTTCAGCTTTATGGTTATGCTCTCATAGGGTCTCAGCTATGGGAGATTATTGAACGTGACACCCCCTTTCTTACTGCACTTGGATAACCGTTATTTTATGACATTCACAGTTTTAGGCATCTGGAGTTCCTGCTGTAGTTAGCCTTACACATAGTTATCCACTGACCCAGAGTACAGTTTGGGCATTAATCAAGGGGTACCTTTATGTTACACGGGTAGCATTCGGTTATCTACCCATTTCCCTGCTGACTGCCTTTATTCACTATCCAGCCTAGTCCCACAGCTACTCTCTGCAACTCTATTGGTAATGAATGTTAAACTGATATAATACAATGTGGCAACATTAGTACAACACTTATATCATTTAGTACCCTCTATAGGGCTCTTGAATTCCAGTACATTCATTCCATTTGTGTTCATAGTTCAGTGGTTGACTTTATACCCCCAGACCAGTTATTAGACATTTAGTAGACATACCCCCTATCCAAGCATTTAATACAGGGGTTTCCCTGTAAGTGTGGCACTGGTTATGTGAAGGTATTAGTCTTTTGAGGTCTGTTTAGATTAAAATGTCCCAATAACCAGAGTGTTATTGTTATCTTTAATTCTTTGATTTATTATCCTATATATGCTCTATCTCTATAAGAGTAATTATACAAGAGGGCTCTATTTCCTCTTTCCTTTTGTAAGTGCTGAGAGGAAACCGTGACTCAAATCCTGTATGTATGTATGTATGCAGGGCCAGCCCAAGACATTATGCTGCTGGGTCCAAGGATGAAATGCCCGCCCCACAAAACCTCACCAAAACCACGCACATCAAAACACCCCCACATTCATTATGTTATGCCGTGTGTGTAGTGAATACAATGTCTGTGTGCTGGGAAGGCAGTGTGTGTCTGTGTATATGCAGAGGATATATGGTGTGTCTGTGTGTGCAGGGAATGTAGTGTGTGTCTGTGTTTTTGTTGGTGATGCTGCGTGTGTCTTTGTATGTGTGCTGGGGATGCAGTGTGTGTCTGTGTGTGTAAACTGAAGCCAATCATGACACTTACTTTCTGTATCCGTGGTGTGGTGACAAGGCTTTTAGAGGGTGAAGTCTGGAGTGACTTCTAGCGCCTCCACTCCTCATATCCTAGCCACTACTGGCCCAGTCCTGACTCTTGCCCTGCTCCTAGCTCTGTGTCCTACAACCAGAGGTGTATTTACCGCTACCATCATGATTTGGGCAGCACTTTAAGGGGAGCGGCAAAATAAGCTTGCGCGCACCACAGTGATGCCAGATCTGGTATATGATGTCACTCCAGCTCCGGCATCACTAAGCAGAGGATCACTGCTCCCTCGCCACTTCCACTATGAGTCTGCCTGCCAGATCAGCAAGCAGCAGCCTTACTGGACCCCAGGGAGGAAGCCACCAAAATGTAAGCAAATAATAAAAAAAAAATGTGAGTGTGTTAGTGTGTGTGTGTTTGTTATTGTGTCTGTTAGTGAGAGTTTTAGTGTGTGTCTGTTAGTGTGTGTGTCTTTTAGTGAGTGTGTTAGTGAGAGTGTGTGTTTTAGTGTGTGTGTCTGTTGGCAGCGGCGTACATACCGCGGTCGCAGGGGTTGCAGCTGCGACCGGGCCTGTCACTCCAGGGGGCCTAGCCGACCTGCGGACCCCTGTGAACTAGCTGCCACGTTTTGCGGCCCCGGCCCGCGCATCAAACCGCCGGGGGCGATTGTTAAAAGGTCCATCGGGTGGCCCATGCTGTCAGGGCCACCTGATGGACATGGATTGTCAGGGGGCCCAGCCTGCGCTGGGCGCTTTAACAGCGCGACTGGGCCCCCTGTGATGACATCAGACGCTGGTAGGAAGTGACTCCCCGGTCACTCCTCCCAGCATACAGAGAGTCCATGTGGGAGGAAGCAGGAGGGAGGAGAGAGTCAGAGTGGGAACTCTGACTCCCATCAAGCTGAGCCACCACTGGACCCCAGGGAAATTCACAAAAGGTAGGAAATATTTTGTGTATGTGTGTGTGTGTGTGTGTATCTCTGTATGTGTGTGTATCTGTATGTATGTGTGTGTATTTGTATGTATGTGTGTGTCTGTGTCTCTGCAAGTGTGTGTCTGTGTCTCTGTATGTGTGTGTGTGTCTGTGTCTTTGAATGTGTCTATGTGTATCTGTATGTATTTGTGTGTCTTTGTCTCTGCATGTGTGTGTGTGTGTATCTGTATTATTTGTGTGTCTATGTATGTGTGTGTATGTGTGTCTCTGTTTCTCTGTATGTGTGTGTGTGTGTGTGTATGTGTGTGTGTCTCTGTATGTGTGTGTGTGTCTCTGTATGTGTGTGTGTCTGTATGTATGTGTGTCTCTGTATGTGTGTGTGTGTCTCTCTATGTGTGTATGTATGTGTGTGTGTCTCTGTATGTGTGTGTGTCTCTATGTGTGCGTGTGTGTATCTGTATGTGTCTGTGTATCTGTATGTGTGTGTGTCTCTGTATGTATGTGTGTGTGTGTCTATTTTGTGTGTGTCTGTCTACGTCTGTGTGTCTCTGTATGTGTGTGTGTCTGTGTCTATGTCTGTGTGTGTCTCTGTATGTGTGTGTCTCTGTATGTATGTATGTGTCTGCATGTGTGTATATATGTGTCTGTGTGTGTGTGTGTATGTATGTATGTGTCTGTCAGGGGTGTGTGTTTGTGTCTGTATGTATGTGTTTGGGGGGCCCACAGTCATGGGGGAGAGGGTCAGGGTAGGAGGGGTGAAGGGGAGGGGGGGCTACGGATCAGTTTTGCACCTGGGCCCCATGGATTGTGTGTACGCCACTGTCGGTTGGTGAGTATGTTAGTGTGTGTGTGTGTGTGTCTGTTGGTGAGTGTTAGTATGTCTGTTAGTGAGAGTGTGTGTGTCTGTCAAAGAGTGTGTGTCAGCGAGAGTGTGTTTGTTAGTGAATGTGTATGTCTGTCAGTGTGTGTATGCGTGTCTGTCACTGAGAGTGTGTATCTGTCAGTCAATGTGTATGTCTGTTAGCGAATGTGTGTCTATGACACTCAGTGTATATGTGCCTGTCAGTAAGTGTGTATGTATGTTTGTCAGTTTGTGTCTGTCAGTGAGTGTGTGTGTCTGACACTGAGTATGTGTGTGTCTGTCAGTGAGTGTGTATGTGTCTTGTCAGTGAATGTGTATGTGTACCTGTCAGTGAATGCATGTGTCAGTTAGTGTGTCTGCCGGTGAATGTGAGTGCATGTGTCTATTTGTCAGTGAGTGTGTATGTTTCATTGAAAGTGTGTGTTGGTTAAACAGTGTGTGTGACAATGACTGTGTATCTGTCAGTGAGTGTATGTCAGTGTATGCATCAGTGAAGAGCGTGTTGGTTTTTAACAGGAAATGAAATTTAGAAGGGTGGGAGCTGCCTTTAACCCATAGGGGGGGAAAAACAAATAGGGGTTGCACTGTATGTGTATAGGGAGCTGTAGTTATCTTGACAGGTGTCTGTATTCATTGTTCAGAGGCTCAATGTGCTGTTGCATTGTAAGCTCTCTGACTGTGATTATGGTATAATTTGCAAACTACATTAATTTGCAATAAACAACTTTAATTTTAAATTATGTAAACCATTCATACACGACTGTGGGGTATAGTTGCATAACCTTGCAGTCGTGTATACGTAAGTGCCAGTGTGAAGCAAATATTGCAAACAGAAATGAAAATTTTGATTGGGCAAATAAACTTTTAATTAATCATTTACTAAGCAATAAAGTTACAGATATATGAAAATAGTGTTATAGACATTTTCCTCACATTTTCTACAATCCTCTTATATATATTATCCTATATGTTCTTTATATATGTATCCCCATGTTCAGAGGTGTGACTAAAAAAACACAGGGCCCAGTGCGAAAATTGCTCTGGGAAGCATCCCGTACATCTAACTCCCCCCACCACCACCCTCCCCCCATACGTCTACTGCCCCCCACCCATTCATTCCCTCCTTCCCCCACACATGCAAACAGATACACATGCAGACACAAACATAAACAAACACACATATACAGAGACACACACATACAGGCACACACATACATACAAACACACATACACACACACACACACACACACAGCAGTTACTTCCTCCCAGCTTCTGACCTCATCAGAGGGGCAGGGCCAGATTAAAAGCCCAGTGGGCCTGGTGCTGACAATTATGAGAGGCCTAAGTACAGAATCTTATTGACCAAAACCACTAAAACAGTCATACGTAGCGTTATGTATCTGGTAGAGATGTTGCCGGAGGGAAATTCATAGGATGCAGCTATAAGAAAACTCAGATTCTCTTAAAATATGCAAATCTCTCTCTAATTCATGTTTTTATCTTTCAAGTAAATCCATACCCCCTAACAGCAGTGTCCAGTGAAGCAGGAAGTCAATGGGCAGTATAAAAGGGTGGGCCACTGACACGGATCATGTAACCAGAACTCCTGAAAGGGACAAACAAAAAGGAGGCGTGTCTGCCCAAAGAATTGGAAGGCTAGCCTGGCATGAATGCATGTCAGGCTACCTGCCAATCATGCAAGCTGGCCAACAACATCCTGAGCTTGGCATAAATGCGCCTTATGATGCGCCTGCTCCACGCTTTCTAAGGACTGTCCCCTAGCACTCACATGTCCACCTGTCTCCTTACCTTCTTACTAGCAGGCAGATGTTCCTGGTATACCGTCTGAGACAGAGATAAGGTGGATGTAGTGAGTGTAGAAGAAAGAAACATGCCCTGTTGTTATGGAGACCAAAGTCAGCATTACTTTAACTAATTTCATTTAAGCTGGTCCACACAAGTTGTGTTTCCATACATCCCATTTAAGTTTCCATACTTAAGCAAGAGTATGTGAAGAGTAGTTAGGTTTGCCACCTTTCTTGGAAAAAAATACAGGCCTTACTAATTTGCATAACTAATTATGTATGAGTGACATCACATTATGTAAATCGCAAGGAGTGACAGAAGAGAAAATTCTGTAAAATCACCAAAAAACTACTTACAGTTTGATTCTGCTGTATAGATGGATTGCTCCCAGTGTCTCCAGATCTCCAAGTGTCTCTGTGTCCCCATGTCGCCCGGTGTTACCATGTTGCCCAGTGTCCCCTAGTGTCTGTGTCCCCATGTCTCCCAGTGTCCCTATGTCACTAGGGGACACTGTGAGACATTGGGACACTTGAGGACACTGGGAGACTTGGGGACACTGAGACTATGCATCAGTGTCCCTACGTATCACAGTGACTCAGTGCCCCATGTCTCCCAGTGTCCTCATGTCTCTGTGTCCCCATGTTGCCTAGTGTCCCCATGTCTCCCACAAAATTCACACAATATGCAAAATTGGATACATTTTTTGCACTTTAATTAATGAATATATTAAATTTGCACTTTATTCAATGTTGTTCACAAAATTCACACAATATGCAAAATTAGATAAATTTGTTTGCACTTTAATTAATGAATATATTGAATTTGCACTTTATTCACTGTTGTTCACAAAATTCACACAATATGCAAAATTGGATAAATTTTTTTGTACTTTAATTAATGAATATATTGAATACGCACTTTATTCACTGTTGTTCTATTGCATTAATAATTGTTCACAGGTTGTTAATACCGTTAAATTAGCACTTAAAGGCACAGCGCACTTTTTTCTTTTTTATACATTTTTACCCATGTCTCCCAGTGTCCACATGTCAGTGGGGGACACAGACACGTGGGGACACATACACGTGGGGACACTGAGACACTCTCTCTAGTGGGCTATTCAGGCTGCAGCCCATATAATAGAGATGTTGCAATCTCCATCATTTGAAGAGACAGGCCATTGCTGTGGTAACCCACATTGCTTTAAAACATTGCTTTACAACATGCTTTACAACATGGTCAGCAGCTCTGTACCTGGCGGAGTTGCAGTGTGGGGGGTCCAGTGTGTGATTACACGAACAGCAAGTAATTTCAGAGCGCCGGTACTTCAGAGGAAATCATGTCCATTAACCCGAGTCCAAAGAAACCTAGGTCAGCCTCTCCCACTCGACACCCTGATTTTTTTTAAGTATTTGGACTGAATAATTCATTATACACAGTATGTGCACTCTTTCCAACACTGAATAGTCAGTGGGGTATTGAAGACCAAGCTGAAAATATAAGACTAAAATAGCCAAACTATGACGATAACTAAGATGACTATACGTCCAACCTTGGTCGGTTTTTGTCTTGTTATACTGTCCATCTTTTGTTCAGCAGGTGGTTTAACCCCCTTAAGGACACAACTTCTGGAATAAAAGGGAATTATGATGGAATATTTCCGTCATGTGTCCTTAAGGGGTTAGTAACAGCATGAAATACCCAGCCATGCTGCACTTTAATTTATTTTCCCCTCATAATAATAACTTTGTGTGCCACTGAAGCCAGTTGTCGAGGAAACATTTCAGAACTTGTATTTACAGTTTATCTGGGAGCTGTGAAAGAAACATGCTCTCTCCCCTAATCATTCAGTCACTTCCAGAGCCCCCCCATCCCCTCCCCCAAGTGGTGAGTCCTGGTAAAGCTGAAAGCCATGTTTATACCCAATCTAAAAATAATTTACGCTCCCTTCCTCCCCCCAATATCTCTACTAACAGGCTGTGTTAACTTCCAGCTTAGAGTAAACATCAAGATGAGCTCCAAAGATAAGAAACCAAACTGCGATTTAGTACATTCACTACAGGCGAGTACATGGGCCTGGTGTACCCAACACACCCGTATGTTAGAATGCAGTGTATCATATCCCAAATAATGGGAATTGATTGTGTTTGCAATTATGTCTGCTTATCAATCAAAAAATGATTACAACTAGCAGTTAATTTTAATAAATTTAATAGAAACAATTATATCTAAGTGTGTTTTATGTATTTTACATCATAACTGAGTAATATTTGCCTTTTACAGAAAATACTATTCTTCGCACTCCCTAATGGAATGAGCGATTAGACACGGAATTTACAGGAAGGAATTATTAGGAATTCAAAAGAAATGTAGAATATTAGCCTAAATAGCCAAACTAAAAGCATAGTAACTTGGGAGAGACTTTCCAAATCTATTTTGTCCCAACATTAGAATGTAAGGACTGCACTTTGATGTTAAATAGCTTAATCCCAGACCTATCCAGCCTACCCTTACTGCATTCACTCTCTAATTAACAAACAGCCGCAAGTGAAAATGAAAGGGGATGTATCTTGCCCATCCTTATTTTCACTACTGCCTAAATAAATACTTTAATTCCCCTTTTGCATAAAAACCACACTCAACACCACATGATAAACCCCACAAATTAAGAAAATGCCTGTTAAGCACATTAATATTTTACTTGGTTTCTTTTTTTTACATTAAGTAAATCCATAAAACTTGTATAAGGCTACTGTATACATCTCATATTATATGTGCGACATCATTAGGTCTCCCATATATATATATATATATATATATATATATATATATAGTATATATCCACATTGAGGATATAGGGGCCCTAGTCCATACAGCTATGCCCCCCTAATGGCGGTTCTAAATACAAAACAGAACATTTCAGTCGCTGCAGCAACATGTGATTTGGAAAGGGCATTTCTGGATGGCATCATTAGCTAATAATGTGAATCTCAGTAGTCTCTGATACTATCTTCGGGCAATAGATCCAGCTATAACACGTGGTCCCAGAAGCCTCCATGCTGCCCTGGCATGGTGCCACAGTGATCAGATACCTGGGGCAACCATTGAGAGTGCTTTTCTGGATTGCCTCACTAGTCAGGGTCCTGGTAATACCCATGTCGTGATGACAGGGGCAGTTATAAGGATCTGTAAATGTGGATTCGGACTGCCTGTGTTATTTATTAATGTGAGCAATGTCAGGAACTCAAAGTGAACTCAATTTCAGGCCAAAATAGATGATAAATTCTCCAAATCAACTGTGATACCAGTTCATCTACTTTGGCCTTAAATGTAAAATTCACTTTGAATTTCTGACAGTTCTCACCGAACTGAATGACCTTCAACCACCACACGTGGCCACGTGAGCAGTGTATGTCCAGTGTCACTAAGGGGCTAACAACACATACATTACACGGAGACACAGGAAGTGAACCATTGAAAAGAAAAAGAACATGTTCCCCCGAATAGATACGTGCTGCACCAGCAACAAAAAAAGGAACGAACTATAACATACATACAATGTGTTCACTGTAATTAAGATCTAGTCACAGCCAGATAAATTTGGTTACAACAAACACAAAGGTTCATGGTTGCCATAAAAATACTTCATAATGCAAAAACACAGATTCATTTATTACCATGGAAGTTTTTGTATCCAAACAGTCATTGACATTTGTTGAACAGGTGACTTACCAGGAGGATAATAAGCTGTTCAAACACAGTTTTAGGGTTTACACCACAATTTGACATATAACCATTGTACAGCGCTGCGGAATATGTTGGCACTGAATATACTGCTAACACATATAAATGTAATTAGTTTAGAGTTTGTGCATAAAGGTGTAACAAGACAATTCCTGAAAGGTTTTTTTTACTCAACAGATTATATTACAGAAAAAAACTAGTAATATCTCACTTGCCCTCGAGCTGCACAGTATATGTAACAGGTGAACTTGTAAAAAATAAAGTTTCACCTTTTACAATAATTCCATAGGGGCAGTAAACAAAGCAGGGAATTTCACAGTAACTGTAACCTAGGCCGTGCAGTTTCTTTTACAACAAAATGGAATTTATCAGGGATATAAAAAAACGAGTTTTAATTGTACAGCACTAAATTATACTATACGTTATATGTATATAAAACAATTCAGTTTTAAAATTCTGATACTTTTTCCCAGCGACAAAATTACATTTTATGTAAACTCGATCTGTTTTGCTGACTAATGTAGGTTGGATCACTTTACCACATAATCAGGTTACAGTTCACTTACAGACAGAGCACATTCCGCATTAAAGGGTTTATCCAAGCACCATGAGCACTTATAATGTAAAGTGGTCATGGTGCTTGGAGTCTGTCTCTATGTGCTGAATTCCACTATGAAATGCTGCACTTACAATCTATCTTTTTGCCGCCAAAGGTGTAACTCCATAAGTGTTCTGAGCGGGCTATTATAAATTTTTGGTGCATGCTGAACGTCTGTCATCAGGAGTAACGCATCAACATGTGATGATGACATATAGAAGAGAAACATATCAGAGGACTTTTCAGAGAGGTGATAATAGACATAGAATAATCTGACAAAGGCAATTTCACAGATGATATTGGCAAATTTGAGAAAAACAAACACTGATTGGTTAATTAATAGTAATATGTGTTTTGGTACAATCAAACATGGAATGTATGTATTAACTTTAGAAAAGATGATGGTATAAGGTTAAAGGAGCACTATGGTGGCAGGAACACAAACATGTATTCCTGACCCTATAGGGTTAAAACCACCATCTAGCCACCCTGGTCCCCTCATGTCTCCATAAATATAGTAAAATCTTACTTGTATTCAAGCTTGAAGCTGCTGGCTCTGCCCCTGTCTGCCTGCAAGCTGTCTGCTGACATCATCAGAAGTGTTGTTCTGAGCCAATCACAGTGCTTCCTCATAGGACTGGCTGAGACTGTGAAGGAGGCAGATCAGGGGCAGAGCCAGCACAAGTCAAACACAGCCCTGGCCAATCAGCATCTCCTCATAGAGATGAATTGAACCAATGTATCTCTATGAGGAAAGTTCAGTGTCTGCATGCAGAGGGAGGAGATACTGAATGTCAGTCACAATGTGGAGCACTGCCCCAGGAAGGATCTCTAACAGCCATCTGAAGTTATCACTAGGCTGTAATGTAAACACTGCATTTTCTCTGAATTGACAGTGTTTACAGCAAAAGGCCTGAAGGTAATGATTCTACTCACCAGAACAAATTCAATAAGCTGTAGTTGTTCTGGTGACTATAGTGTCTCAGTTATGAGTTGTTTCCTTCTGGAGCTATTCAATACCAGTCCATAGACGGGTTTGACTTATCTTTATGCTTTCTTGGAGATTTCCCTGGCTTTTACTTGGGATTCAATAAGTGTAAGTGTAGTGAATAAGTGTTGGGAAGCAGAAGACATTTTGTGACAAAAAAGGATTGAAAGATGACATTTTATAAAGAAAAATACCTTTATAGAACTAAAATCCTAGCTCCCCTTAAAACTCTTGCATTTTACCAAAATAGCCTTAAGTTAAAAGTCCTAAATATCCTGTGAAGTGGATTATCCATTTAAATTGGGGTCGAAGTCCGCACATGCTCTGTAACAGTGGCAGGATACTGGGACTACATTGCATGCTCCAGAGTTCCCAGCGTTATAAGGAACTGAATTCGGTAAGAGAACACCGAAGACTCAGACCAGGGAAGATAGATACTATTTTTCCTCCTAAATACAATTCCAAAGAAGACAAAACTAAAGGGACGGATTTAGGTAAGAGGCTTCTCAAAAACAATTCTGCCTACATAAAGACTGATGTCCTAACATGGCCATGATAGGAAACGTAATTGGTTTCATCCTTCAAAACTAGAGGTTATTTACATAGATCCCTCATAGTGGTACAATAGGTACTACTGAACCTAACTTAGTAAGACCTGCACTTGTAGGCTGTTTACGAAGTTCTTGAGAGGCTGAACCTCATCTGAAGACCCATGGTACACATGAGAAGTTGGCCAAAAAATAAAAAGAATGCTTATAAGAAATTCCTGCCTGTACGACTAAGGACAGTAAAAAGACTGTGGTATTGAAGGAGGGACCTTCCATACCACCAAGACTGTAGGATGTCGATTCCCTGTTTTGATCCAGCTGAGTTACCTATAAGTAATGCTTTCATGATTAGCCAGAAAACAGTTTTTAATCTTCTAAGACCTCTCTGCTCCTTGGGCTAATGAGGAAGCATTAACCTGAGAATCAATGGGTGGCTGTGACTGGCTGACTGCGCCGCTTTCATCCTAGCCCCATGCCAATTGCTGGTATAAATAGGTATTGCTTGAAGGAAGTGTGTAATCTCTGCCTTAGTCACACCCCCAATAGGGTCGGGTAGCCTTATTTAAACTACTGGAAAATGGTTTAAAACTGAATGAGAGGACAGCACAATGCAACTGCAAGGGAATAATATACATACCAAGACGGCTCCATTAAGCTAAAGGTTGTCTAGATGCCTATAGTGCCCCTTTTAAAAGTAACAGAGGACTAAAGCCACAGCAGTGAAATCTGGTTAACACTCACAAAAGCTTTCTGTTATGCTGGAAATACCTTTACCACTCAGTATAAAAGCCATACACAGATTTTCAAAGGAACACTATAGGGTCAGCAATACAAACGTGTATTCCTGAACATATAGTGCCAAAAACACTATCTAGGTGACAGGCCCACCCTTGCATCCCTCAAAGAAGGTAAAAACTTACCTTTATTCCAGAACTGCGCACACCTGCCAGTGCTGGTCCCGTGCCCGATCCACCTCCTTGGCGGAGATAATCAGAATTGACAATCTCACGTGAAAGCATTAGATTGGCTGAGCCAAAAGCTGTGCTGGCCTGTCTACATCTCCTCATAGAGATGCATTGAGTGTAGAGACACTAAACATCAGAAACACTGACCCAGGAAGCACCTCTAGTAGTCAACTGAGTGACTGAATCTTGAGGTGTCCCTAGGCAGTAAGGTAAACACTGTTTTCTCTGAAAGGGCAGTTTTTACATGGAAATGCCTGCAAAGACAGGCTTTACAATAAAGATATATACCAGTGTATACACTTCCCCAGTGTGACTCTATAAGAGTGATATTACCATATGATGAACTTGGTTGGAATGATATCTAAAATTACAAAAAAACAGAAAACACCATAGTGTGAACTGTACGAAGATAATAAGTGGTAAATAGACATTGAACTCCCACTCACATTTTCCAGAGCTGTGCCAGGCTCTGTATATCAGGTTCACAGGTGCCACAGAATTTTCAGCCACGCACTGAAGTGCCACAATAATTGTGAATCGCCTACACACTGTCTTTCTTTTACTATTAAGACAGGCTATAGCCACCAGAACCACTACACTGCTGTACATTACTGCCATGACCAGCAAGGAAGACACTATCAAATGTCTTCTCAAGCATTAACAATATGTAATGTCCTAAAACTAGATGCCTCATCTTACGTAGTTTTGACTCATCCCAACAATAACCTACTTTTGTACCAGAGCTAGATTTATTCACTCTCCACTCCAAAATATATTTCTTCTGCAATGTTAGTTTGTCTAACTCAGAAGCTATGACTTTGGCAGTAAGGAACAACTTACAAATATCTACACTCTGATAGCTATGGTTCTAATTCAGACTGAGAATCTTTTATTGTTACCTGAAGCTAAATTCCGATCTCCCAAGCTCCCTTTGGCCACTGATGTCGTTTCACGTATTCCACGCGACCAGGCTGAGACACACAATGCTAAAGATGGTGCTCTATCACGCACAGCCCCACGGGTTGTAAATTATTTATACAGTTTGACAACTTACCTAGGTCCTGCTGGGCACAGCCTGTTTCAGGTCTGCTCCTGTAGGAGAACCTAGTTAGCTCTAGAGAGCCAAGTAGGGCAAAGCGCATTAGCTAGAGGCATTCTTAGATCAGCTGTGCTTTAAATTTATAAAGACATCCTGCTGCTCCTGCATTAAAACAGATGCAGAACTGACACTAATAGAAACCAAGTAAGTTGTTAAACCATACTAAAATGGACATCAGAATGTTGAAGGGCAGTGCACCCTTGGCACCACAGCCAATTCTAATAACAAAGTTCCTCAAACTCTAGGTCAGCCACTTCAAGTATCCAAGAGACACTTGGTCTATTTATCAATGGATAGTGTGGACTTCCCAGTTTCTTCTCATGAACATGGACCCCTAACTAAAAAGGTCATTTTTGCCTCCCTACCTAAACATCTTTATTCATGGATTTTTGCAGAATCTTTGGGAAAGATTACGTCTGTTCCAAGGAAAAAGGGGAGTGCTTGCAAAGGCTACAGTCTTAGTAATAAGAACTGCATAAATAAATGAAACATGTATTCACTGGGGATATATCTGCTAAACATTACTTGTGTTGGGTAGTCCTTTGCTGTCAACAATAAAAAAAAGTGTTCTGCAAACACTTCCAAAGCCTACATTTCTACAGCAGAATATCTATATTTTTATTGTGACATTGACTCCAATTTTGTTCAGGTTAATATACTCTAAAAAGAGCTAATTGTTCATTGTTTCCATATTAAAAAAAAACAGTCCCTCCCCCCATCAATGCATTATTTTATTGAATTAATTTGTGTTTTAAGGGGTGTGAAAACAGTAGACTAGTGCACAAATCTATTTCACCTGTGATGGATGAATTAAATGTCTCTTAGTCTACAGTGCAACAAATTGATCCATCTATAATCCCAGGCAAATGTAATTGTTCTGGTTTAGATTAACAGGCATTTGATTCATCCATTGCAGTTCAAAAAGATTTGCACACAAGTCTATCAAATTGGACAGCACATTTACTTGTTCTGAGTTGAGGCGAATTATCCATTTAAAAAAACAAAACAAAAAAACAACAACAACAAAAAAAAACAACGAGGAATAATACTAGCAGCAGCAAAAGAGACAACTCAGATTACAAAATAGACTATTTTTATTCATGAAAACATCATTTCTATTGAGCAAGATTTACACATAAGCCCCAGCTTATGAAAGAAATGTCCGTACTGTGCCTTTGATTGTGCCTCTGCAAATTGGGCATTTTCTGAGAGACGGGGCACAGTCCTTACACACTACTAAATGTCCACAAGGGATAAAAACAATAGAGACTTCCTGGTCCATGCAAATCTTGCATGTTCTTTCTTCTTGGAGCCTTCTTAACTGTTCTTCTACAGGTAGATCTACAAGAAACAAATGCACACGGTTAGTGCTCATATAGGCACTACTGAACATTAATATTGCCATAATAGGTGAGCTAAGAGCTATACATTAGTAAGAAAAGGGATGTGTAAAATAATTGGAAAGCATGAAATACACACAGTTATGGGTGGGTGGGTTGTTTTTCTTGTTTGTTTTAAATCCTTACAAAGCTATAAAGGTTTGAATGCACAGTGTTTATAGTTACCTGAATAGTCATCCGATAATTTTAAAGACTGTTCCACTAAAAACGAAAGAAACAAAAAAGAAAGAGTTAGAAAAACAACTGCATCTGAATACGTACTGTTCCAAGATGTAAGCCATGTAAATGAAAGAGCCGATCTACACATGTTGTAAGTTAGGTCAGTGTACATGAAAGGGCATCTACCACAGATTGTGTGCAGACGGCCAATGCGCCAAATAAATACTTTGTATCTAAAGCTACCATTGTTATTATCATAAAAGGACAACTGGCTTATTTGAGCAAAGCAGTTTTATATTTTTAGAAATATCAAAAGGATGGTTTTAGCAAACCCATACAAACTGGAACTTAATGTGAATGATAATTTTAGAGATCTCACATTCTATAAATTAACAGTGTCTATGCTATTTAGTGATCTAACAATAACTGCCCTACAGAATACATTACACATGAGGTAAAGCCGTCTGACTGTGAAACTGTAGACATGATTCTCTGTCAGAGTGGGCAACAAGAATGCTCTTGCTGATCAGACTCCTACTCTCCAGTACAAACAGTCCCTAAAGCAATACAAAAGAAAAAACAAACAAACAAGCAAACCACAACTTACAATATAATTCCTTGTAAAGGTCTGCATCATATTCCTTAAGACAGTTTTTGAATGCTAGAACTGCATTTTTCCCTTTTGCTAGTATGGTTTCGATCAGTTCTTGTGCTTGCAGAGCAGGTGGGGCTTTTTGCTTTATGGAATCGTTTTCAGGTGTGGTTATGATATGAGATGAATGAAGGTCATTCAGAATGAGAAGTGAGCAGGTCAAGCGTTGTGACAGAGCGACTCGACTTTTTCTGATCACAATGATCTCATCTACAGAAAGAAAAGAAAACAATATTGGCAAATTAGCTTTTACAGACAGACAAGCATTACAAAGATTTTATGTGGGGTTTTTATTTAAGCCAGGCTTTAATCGTATACACTGTTTCCATTAGCTTTAGTTTGAGAAACAGAAGATTTTGTTTGAAGCTAGCTGGGATTTGCAACAGGTCTTTTTTGCTCGTAAAACTTTTCTTTACCAAATTTCACATTATTTATACTAGCAGTAGGAAAACTTTGTTTCTCCAGTCATTGTTGGCCACATTTCACATGAGACATAGCTGCTATTTAACTAGTTAGAACGTATGAGAAATGTATTTCAAAGCAGAAATTACCTGATGTTGTTTCTTCTGCTTGTCTGTCACGTTCCTCTTCAGTCTGTTCGTCTTGAGCACTTAGAATATCAGATATGAGGAGAGCAATATCTTTGTAGTTTTCTCCACTTGTTAACATCTTACTTTGTACGGTCTGCTTGACTAATCTTCTATTAAAACCCATTTCCAGGGCAGTCAGAACTACTTCTGTGTTCATCATAAGATCATCTTCAGGGCTGGTGTCAGTTCCCAAACGGATTACTGAAACCAAACAAATGTTCACCATTAGGTGTAGAAATGTTTCACGTACACCTAAGTTCTCATAGTTTGACCATTCCCTAAATTCAATTAAATTAACTTTTACACAACATTATGAACTAGGCAACAAAAGTGAAACACACAAGTTGCCCACTAAAAACCCAAAGCAAACCACTAATCCCGTTTCAATCACACAATGTATACAATAAAGTAATAAAAATATTTGTAAGGTTTGGTTAGAACTTTAACTGAAGTTAACTTACTTGGTTGGTACTGTGCTTCATTGTTCTGCATATCGGAACTTGAAAGTAACTAAAATATAAAAATATATAACTAGTGAGACAAAAACAGTGTAGAGAGGATAAAATAGGTTTTTAAAAAAAAAAAAAAACCTGGGTGTTCTAGTTTAAGCAAGGATGTTTGTAGATTATACAATGAGAACGAACAATATGTTTCCAGGAAATAGAATATCATCCTGCTTTTTAAACAGACAATATGGGGCACCAATTACACGGAACATGCATGGAGTTAACTCCATTGCATAGTTCAACACAATAAAAAGGCTTTAAAGTTCACTGGCATGAGGAAACGAGGAACATCAACAAAGACAGGCTGCTCTTTTACTTTGTGATAGTTGGGTACTAAGGGGTGCTTTCAATAGTTTCACTATTCCAGGTCACAAATTACAGATAAGCACAAATTCTGAGCCCCTACTTGAAGATAAACTGATCATTCTATTAGATATTAAATTATGACCCTGATATAGCATTTTTCTGACTTACCTGATCAAGGAGATGTGGATATTTTTCTTGGATTTCATTAATGAAAGTCTGACCTTTTATATGCAATAAGAACTCACATCTGAAAAGAAAAAAATAATAATTTAAAGTGCTATCACAGGAGCTCCACTATACACTTTTCAAACTAAATCATCAAAACATGCAACATTTTGTATAGAGTGCTTTTACATATTCTAGTAAAATACTTATCCATTACTTTTGAATTTTTAAATTCCTTAACACTTATGATTGGGTGTGAGGGGGGGAGGCAATGTAGTAGGTTAAAGCTATGCTTTGAGTTGAAATCTTCCAGTACACTATCAGAAACGCGTTGGCATGCCTCCAACACAGGTTTATATATTTATAGAGGAGCAAGAGAGATCACAAGTAGGAACGATCAGATACTAACTACACAGTCCTTGGGCGGCAGGAGAATGGATTGTATATGTACACAAACAGCAGTCATGTTACAAGATAAGGCCTGCAGTGGCAAATATATAGCTTTGGCTCACACCTTAAATTTGCTCTATTTACTAATGAACTTTTAGAAATGTCTGGGCTTTACAGCTGGGGTAAGCAACTTTTGGCATGTGTGCCATAAATGTTATTCAAGGCTGTCATCGTCAAACAGGCTCTGGCCTATCAGGAGTGCCAGTGGTACTTCAGATATTTGCTGGTGCAACCCAAACAGTGATTTCAGGTGGTGAGGGACATTCCTCAATTTACATATTGCAGTATTTAGAGAAAATTATATCAGATCACTTCTTCCCAGACTTGTGAACAGGAATCCGCTCTGGAGTAGAGCAGCTGTGCAGCAGCAATCGCAGCTCCTGCCCTTGACTAGTACCCAAGGGAAGCCATCCACGCTGCTAGATATACACAGAGCCGCAAGACTAGCCTCTCCCTCAAACAAATACAAAACACCCCAAATAGACACACACACACAGTCCCCACAAACAGAACATCCCTGACGCAACCCCACAAGCAGCCTCTCACATTCAATACCACAAACAGCCCCACATATACACACACCAAACACGCAATTTGACAAATCAGTAAGATGAAAAGTATACACTCCTTCAAAACATGTCATCCTTTGGGAAGTGGTCAAAAGATATACATGAACAATTTATTTGCTGTGTAGGTCATGTGATTACCTGGGAAACCATTTAGCATGCTCCACCCACGGGTCATCTCCAGACTCCCAACATCTGAGGCCACCATCACAACAAAAGCACTTTACATCATCATTCCGTCCTTCAAAAAGAACAAGAAAAGAACATTAATAAAACATATCATATTAATGATACTAAGGGTTTTTTACTAGAAGGGAGAATTCAAAGTGACTTTTAAATTTAAGGCTAGAGTAACTAAATTGAAAACATATTGGACTTAAAAATATTTTTGTTCAGCTGTTTTAACAGATTCTTTCTTTGAACGACCTGCCAATCTAGCCAAAAAAAAGCACTGTAACAAATATGTAAAAATATCTTACCAACATAATAAAATCCAGCTTCCGATAGCTTTTTGGGTGTTACTGGGATTCTGGATGGCCAATTAACAAAGGTTTTCAGACGAGAGGATGAGGTCTGCATGCTCACATTGGAAACACTGAACCTTGGTACTCTTGAACTACTGCTTTTTACAAATGGACATTCTGGGAAATGTCGTCGATGCTCTGACATGGCATTATCTTTTGGTTCCCAGTTATTTAATTTCCCATCACAGGCAAAGCAACAGACTTTGTCCCCAGGTCCTATGTAGTAAAATCCAGCCTTAGCAAGTTCAGTTGAATCAAGAAAAGTCAGTGGCCAAGTAGTGAAAGTTTGAAGTCTAGCTTCTTCTGTGGCCATGTGGGAAATGGACTCATTAATTCTTAGGTGGGACAGATCTTCAACAGCTCTTGATGTAACTGAATCTGGAGGAAAACTCATATAGCTTTGATTAATGTATTGAACTTCCACATCAGAACAGGCAGATGGTGGTTGACTGACCAGAGAAGTCAGAGGGGAAAAGGCAGAATAAGATGACCCAAGATTTACTGCTGGTGCATTCTGGATGAAAGTGCAACTTGGGTATAACTTTTTATGTTTTTCAGCCGCATCGTCTCCTTTTTTCCAGTTGTCAAGCATCAGTCCACAAGTAAAGCATTTAACTTTGTCATCTACACCAGTGTAATAAAAACCAGCTTTGGCAAGACTTCGTTCAGACACTGGTACGTTGCTTGGAAACTTAGAATATGTTGACATACGATAGAGTTCGCAAGAATAGTCGTACTGTATTTGACCCACGTTGGGGTTTGATTTTATAAGGTTGGCCAGGTATGAACTCCTGTTTAAAACTTCCATGATATAAGACAGCAGAAAAAAAAAGGTCGGGGAAATCTCTCTCTGGGAGTTAGTCATGTGCAAATATCCAATTAAAATGTGTGCAGTTGCAACTAAATGTACACTAGCTTTATAGCTAAGCAATGTATTGTTTCCAATAAAAGATATCTGCCTGCTGAGACAAGTATCCTACTGGTACAAAGCTGCAGCCTACAACAGCAAGCATTTAGTTTTAGCCATGGGCTACTCTAGAACAATGGGAACAGCAGTCTAATATCACCTAGTGATTTGACCTACCTGAATTACTCTTTTTTTTAAATGTGTCCTATACCAGCTTTAGAAAAAAGTAATTTTTTTGTTTTGTTTTTTTTTAAAGGGTTACTCGCCTTTTCGTCTCTTTTTAAAAAGCAACTTACATGCCACATGCTGAGTCGTCAAACACTATATAACCTGATGACTTGTACCTGTAGCAAAATGCACTGGTGACACATCTCTGTACTTTAAAGTTGGAGCAGTAAGTTAGATGGGCCATACATTAATCTAAGGAGGGAAATAGACTTTAAGCTCTTTATCACGCAAATGTTTTCCACCACAATAGCTGCATATAATGCTTTTTGGGATAGAAAGCAATATAAAATCATCTATAAAGTACATTGCTATATATTATGGAGTAATGAGATGAAATCTATAAAAAAATAAAATAAAAATGGAACAATTTAGGGCACATAACTAACTCCCAGCGAAAGATTTCCCCTCCTGGGTGATTTAGGTTTCCATCATATATATTCTGTGCAACACTATGAGAAATTACACTTATTTCGGAGAATGAAGAAACATTGGATCAAAAAAGTGTCACAATCTAGAAAAGGAAACAAAAAAAATGTTTTTAGTAAATCATAGAATATTAACTCTGACACAAGTTTTTTGTTTTTAAAAGGGTTACTTCAATCCTTTTTCCCTAGTTCACTTTTTAAATATATAATGCCCTATTATGGACAATGGGAGAGAACATAAAAAAGAATAAAAAAATACCAAGTTGAACGAGCATACGGGGAGGCAGGTGACAACTTTAGCTTTAGCCATCCAGGTGCTAACAGCACTGCCTGGAAACGTAGAAGCTGATTACGTCTGTTTTCCACAGAACTAGCTTAGGCACCAAAGCAACTTTAGCTTAATGAAGCAGTTTTGGTGTATAGATCATGCCCCCACAGTTTCATTGCTCAATTGTCTGCCATTTGGTAATTAAATAATTTTGTTTATGCAGCCATAGTTACACTGCACCACATGTCACTCCTAAAGCCTTGCTAAATACTTCCTTCCTGTAAATAGAGATCTAATGTTTAAACTTCCGTTATTGCGCAATATTTTAAAATAGGCCCATTTTGAAGTGGTCATGGCTCTTGGAAGTCTAACAACAAACAAAAAAATGTATATATGCATATACGAAGTCCGCCTCGAACAGCATCATTAGCAAGCTATGAACTTGACTTCTAGACTAGTGTTAAAGGGGCAATTTAGGCACCATAACAACATAATCTAAATGAAGTTGTGATGGTGCCAGGTGGTTATTGGCTGACAGTGATCAGCTGACACTCTCAGGCAATCAGTGACTCCCCATTCACAAGCAGAAGAGGACATGGAGTCTCATAGTAATGAGACACATAAGCAGAAGCTTGCTCAGGGCCTCACTGCTGATAGAGGAACACTCCCAGCACCCTAATCACTGCAGCCTGCTATAGTGTCTATGGTGCAAGGAGTGTCCTGGCACCCCTCATTGCAATTAGTGATCATCTCTCAGCCAATGGAGTAAGCCCTGCACCACCAACTTTCCTGCGCTCTGTCTAAAGTGGTGGAGGCAGCAAACAGCACACTTGGTAAGAAGTATAAACATTCTACAGCACCCTGTAGTGGATATAGTTAAAGATGGCTCTGCATAAATTCAGGCATTGTTCTCAGTAGTCACTCAAGAGTCATGTATAGTTTAGTCAGTGATGTTTTCTTTTAAATTAATAGGTTTGCATTCAAACTAATGAGTACATTATAAAACAGCCTAATAACCAAGTCAGAAAATGACTGAGAATGCATTAACAAACTGTAAAATAAAATGAGATATGCTTAAGACAAAACATGCTTAAATACAAAAAAAATTGCTCTTTTGTATGAAACATTTACAACTTTCTGCCCTGAAATCAGCTCAGCATATATTCCAGCTTCACCCAGATTACAAAATCATGTGTCATAAAAATTCAGAACTGTTCTGCCTGAAAGGGATACCTTTCAATTAAAATGGCAAAAAAACTAAACATCTTAAACATTATCAGGTGATTTTATTTATAATAGTGTAAAATCTGGTAAATATCTGTAATGGCAACAAAAACATTAATAAGAAATAGTCCGGTCAATCAAAAATCTAGGTTTTGCAGCAATGCATTCTGGAAGAACTACAAAGCTGGCTTCTCACTACCTACATTAGGGCCACTTGCCATGTGACACTTAATTCCTGGCCTACAATAGGTTAAGGCGACAAACCAATATCAACTGAGGATATCTACTTTAAAAAAAAGAATTATATATACACAAAACCAAACGTACCATTTGTTGTGCGAAATTCGCAAAGTGTTCTAACGAAGACAAAGTCTGAAATGCTTCTTGGTCAGATTGCACTGGTGTACAAGAGCTTTTAAACTGTGTGTAAGGAAATTCCAAACAGCATTTTATGGGCGTCTCACTTTCACTATCTTTAGAAGCAGTGAGGATGTCATTGATCAATGATAAACCAGTGGATTAACATCTAATCTATTCACACCAGGACAGCTCTCTGCCCACTACCAGGGTTATAATTACTAGAATTGGGAATTGTTTATTTTTTAAAGTTTTTTTGGAAGGGGTTTACAGATAGCAACCAATGCTCTCTACACAATCGGGCAATGAGAGGATTAATGCCCTCATTCGAAACTGGATTCACCGTACATTGAGTAACCAGGAATGTGTGCCCTACGCCCCTGGAAGCCGCCTGTTTACAGAATAACACTTTTTTCAGTCTGATCTCCTCTCACACACAGTCTGATCTCCTCACACACAGTCTGATGATCTCCTCACACACAGTCTGATCTCCTCACACACAGTCTGATCCCCATTGACAGTCTGTCTCCTCTCACACAGTCTGATCTCCTCTCACACACAGTCAGATCTCCTCTCACACACAGTCTGATCTCCTCTCACACACAGTCTGTTCTCCTCTCACACACAGTCTGATCTCCTCTCACACACAGTCTGATCTCCTTACACACAGTCTGATCCCCATGGACAGTCTGATCTCCTCACACACAGTCTGATGATCTCCTCACACACACAGTCTGATCTCCTCTCACACACAGTCTGATCTCCTCTCACACACAGTCTGATCTCCTCTCACACACAGTCTGATCTCCTCTCACACACAGTCTGATCCCCATGGACAGTCTGTCTCCTCTCACACAGTCTGATCTCCTCACACACACAGTCTGATCTCCTCTCACACACAGTCTGATCTCCTCTCACACACAGTCTGATCTCCTCTCACACACAGTCTGATCTCCTCTCACACACAGTCTGATCTCCTCACACACACAGTCTGATCTCCTCTCACACACAGTCTGATCTCCTCTCACACAGTCTGATCCCCATGGACAGTCTGATCTCCTTTCACACAGTCTGATCCCCATGGACAGTCTGTCTCCTCTCACACAGTCTGATCTCCTCTCACACAGTGTGTTCTGTCTCTCCATGGACAGTCTGTCTCCTCTCACACAGTCTGTTCTGTCTCTCCATGGACAGTCTGTCTCCTCTCACACAGTGTGTTCTGTCTCTCCATGGACAGTCTGTCTCCTCTCACACAGTCTGTCTCTCCATGGACAGTCTGATCTCCTCTCACACAGTGTGTTCTGTCTCTTCATGGACAGTCTGTCTCCTCTCACACAGTGTGTTCTGTCTCTTCATGGACAGTCTGATCTCCTCTCACACAGTGTGTTCTGTCTCTTCATGGACAGTCTGATCTCCTCTCACAGTGTGTTCTGTCTCTTCATGGACAGTCTGTCTCCTCTCACACAGTGTGTTCTGTCTCTCCATGGACAGTCTGTCTCCTCTCACACAGTCTGTTCTGTCTCTCCATGGACAGTCTGTCTCCTCTCACACAGTGTGTTCTGTCTCTCCATGGACAGTCTGTCTCCTCTCACACAGTCTGTTCTGTCTCTCCATGGACAGTCTGTCTCCTCTCACACAGTGTGTTCTGTCTCTCCATGGACAGTCTGTCTCCTCTCACACAGTCTGTCTCTCCATGGACAGTCTGATCTCCTCTCACACAGTGTGTTCTGTCTCCATTCGGCGCCATCTTGTCCCCACTCCCTCCATCACTCTTTATTTTCCCCAACCTCCAGCTCCGAGCTGCTTTCTGTCTCTCCTGCATCCCCAGCCGGTACATGCAGGCAGGGACACGGCGTGAGGGAATTACCGGAGGAAACCCACACCGTAATAAACATATAGAGAAGGAGAGAATCCTTACCGTGCATAGAAAATGGCCGTCTCTTCCCCTCTCCATCCCATCCCCCCCTTCTCTCTCCTCACTAATCTCTTCCCACAGTCCCCGCTGTTTGTCTGGAATAGACCATTTCACTGGGGCGGGGGGGAGCTATTTGCATTTTCTATGTAACCCTTTGTGTTTAGTTATGTCTGTGGTTGTGTTGGGTTTATTTCTTTTTTTGTCACTTTATCATTTTTGAAACATATTTGAATGAAAAAAAGCGGGGACAATAAATTGTCTTTAAAAAAAAAAAAAACCCTTAACCTCTGTAATGCCTGACTTCCTGCCAATAGAATGTTGGAAAGTACCTTCGATTCTTAGAATGTTATGATTCATTTACACAGCAGCCACGTCAACACATACAGAAAAAAAACAAAACCTTTTACACAATGTGGGGAAAACCCAGGGTCAAAAAGTCTGTTTTTTTTAAAAACTTTGTGTTTGCTTTGCACGGGTATTAACCGATTCAGCAAAGTAAATTACTAAATTGTGAAATATTCCGGGTTATTCACAGGGGCGTAGCTAGAGCATTTAGCACCCGGGGCGGGTCTTGTGGTTTAGTTTAGTTTTTTTTTTTTTTAAATTAAATGCCATAATTAGCGGTTTTATTCAATAAAGTTTGACCCTAATCCAGGTTTTTTTAATTTTTTTATTATTATGTAATTATGTATTTATCGCCAACAAATTCCGCAGCGCTTTACAATGGGTGGACGGACAGACATGTAATTGTAACCAGACAAGTTGGACACACAGGAACAGAGGGGTTAACAGTTTAATTGATACGCTTTTATGAAGAAGTGGGTTTTTAAAGGATCACTATAGTGTCAGGAAAACAAACTCGTTTTCCTGACACTATAGTGCCCTAAGGGTGCCCCCACCCACAGGGCCCCCCTCCCTTGGCGCTGAAGGGGTTAAAACTGGTGATCTCTGCTCCCCCGCCAACGTCAGCTCCCGAGTGGAGCGGAATGCGCATGTACGACAAGTGCCTCGCACGCATTCAAACAGTCCATAGGAAAGCATTTCTCAATGCACGCTGGGTGCGAATTTCACATCCAGCATTGCACATGCGCCTCTAGCGGCTGTCAGGAAGACAGCCACTAGAGGTTGGATTAACCTTGCAATGTAAACATAGCAGTTTCTCTGATGTTTACATCTGAAGGGTTAAAACCTGAGGGATCTAGCACACAGACCACTTCATTGAGTTGAAGTGGTCTGGGTGACAATAGTGTCCCTTTAATGACTTTTTTGAAGCAATGGAGACTGGGTGAGCATCTAACGGAGGAGGGAAGTGAGTTCCACAGGAACGGTGCAGCCCTCGAGAAGACTTGAAGGCGAGCATCAGAGGTGGGAGTACGGACAGAAGATAGACGCAAGTCTTCAGCAGAGCGTAAAGGGCCTAGATGGGACATACTTGTGTATTAGGGAGGATAGATAGGTGGGAGCAGCATTGTGTAGAGATTTGAAAGCAAGAACCAGAATTTTAAATTGAGCCCTATATCTTACAGGAAGCCAGTGTAGGGACTGACAGAAGGGTGAAGCGTGGGGAGGTGCAGGCGGACAGGAAGATGAGCCTCGCCGCCGCATTCATTATGGACTGTAACGGCACAAGTTGGGAGCACGTAAGACCACTGAGAAGCGGATTACAGTAGTCAAGGCGAGAAAGGAGAGTGGAATGGACCAACACCTTAGTCGCATCTGTCCTTAAGTAGGGTCGGATGCAAGCAATGTTTTTGAGACAGAAGCGGCAGGATTTGGCGATAGACAAAGGTCAGGGAGAATTAGGATAGAGCAGTGACCACGAGATTTTGCAGCGAGTAGATCATAGGATACTTCGGTCAGTGCCGTTTCCTCAGAGTACTTAGTGCGGAAACCAGATTGAAGCGGGTCTAGCTTGAGGAAGTTTGTCAATTCTTTAAACTATTCGTCAGCTGGCTCACAAGGTTACTGTCAGGAAATACAAGTGAATTTTAAATTAAAGACCAATCTAGATTGTAAGCTCGTTTGAGCAGTGTCCTCATCAAAATATTGTTCCTGTAACATTTTGCAATTGTCTTATTTGTTGTTAAATGTCCTCCTTTATAATATTGTAAAGCGCTGTGGAATATGTTGGCGCTATATAAATGACAATAATAATGAAGACAAGCTGGAGACTAGCCACTTTTTCCAAATTGGCGATTTTTTTGCTTTTAACTCTGAAATTCATTGTGAGTGGCCGACAATTTTCACATCTGTGAAATTGCCCAGACTTCAATAAATTAGCTTGCTAGCTAATTAATTAGCAAGTTAATTTATTTAATAGATTGCCCTGTCTTCGAGCAAAATCCAGTTGAAATCCGGTTTACATTCGGTGTAATATGTGAATTCTACTTGGGATTCACATGCAAAAATGACTGATTTTTAAACCAGACACCGACCGTTACCGACCTTTTCCTATTCTGTTGGAACAACTGAATTGTGAACATATTTGCCTTTAATAAATATGGCTTGGCAAATCAGGTAGAGTCATTTTGTAAATCTGGTGTTCATTAAGCATTCGTTTTTACCTCCCTACAATTAAGTGTATAATAAATAAACCCCAGTTGTTTTCTAACTTGGCCTTTTTCCTAAATCTTGTAGTTCAGCTTTTCATTCACTATTAGACCTCCTATTAAAGGGATTTTATAGTTTAAGGAATACAAAGCCCCCCAGCATGGAAAGGGATCCCTCATGGCGCTGAGTCGGTGCTCTGCCTCCTCCGACGTCATCTGACTAATGCGCGTGTACAGTGAGCACATTAGGTCCTCCTCATAGGAATGTCTTGCTTCAATGCTTTCCTATGGGGATTTAACTGACACTGGATGTCCTCATGCAGAGTGTGAGTATGTCGCCTAGCAAGCAGGAACTGCCTCAAGTGGCTGTCTGGTTGACAGCCACTAGATGCAGTCTCATTCCTGTAATGTAATTCTTGCAGTTTCCCAAAAACTGCAATTATTTATTGTCACGGACTGTTTGGCACCCCGACAGTGTACCTCCGCCAATCGATGCTCCTAGTGCTTGCTGAGGACACCAGACACCATAAGCACTGCAGACCCCACTTCCAGTGATGCAGCTGCGCCGGGGTCTTGCTTTCCTCTACCCACCCTGGACCGAAGACCAGGATCCAGCTTCCAGTGGGTAGACCTCTCTTAGTCCAGAGAGCATAGGAGGAACAATCTATTCCGTAGTTCCATATATTGAACTGTAGAAGAACTTAGTGATTATACTCAGGGGAGTATAGTGATTAGAGCAATCCCCCAGAGTGTAGTTCTCCAATCCCCCAAACATGAGCCAAGACTTTATGAAGGTGCAAGATTATCTGAAGGTTTAATGGTTCAGGTTGCTTTATATACAATTCCTCAGGCCAGAGGCACACCCCCTGGACCTGATGTACCTACTGTACAGACCAATAAGAATAATACAACACTTTCCAACACTCCCAGATATAGCACACAATCCCTCCCCTCTGCCTGTGATATAATTAAAGTAGCTAACACAATAACATAATTATCCACAGGCAGAAAAACACACATTTTCCCCAAAGTACAGAAAACACCCCAAACCATAAATATTACATCCCCGAATAGCCCTGATCTGGGTGAACAACTAGATCACCCAGATCAGAGCAGGGGTTCAGGAAATTCCTGGAAGTCTCTTTTTGTCCGACCGCACACATGGTTTCATGCCCAAAACAGTTCCAGAGAAATAGGCTGTGCGGCCAGTCTATTTCAAACAGATGAAGTAAAGTTCCAATAGTTGAACGGAGCCATTCGTGCACATAGTCGGTGAGTATATCTGGTTCGGTAGATTATTTCTACCAAGCGGCGCTCCGTTCGTGCAGTTTTAGTCGAACCTAGCTGGAGGTGGAAGTCCCAGCTATGTTCGTGTCGTTGAGTGTCTGATTTGAGTTCCATGAACTTGACGACAAAACACAGCTGAACACGTTTGACTAAACAAGATGGCCGCTGCCACGTGTTCGACTATATGAATGGCGACCTCCCAGCCGTTCGTCAATTTGGCTGCGGTTAACTTCCAGCCTGGGAGGTAAATGGGCTGCACACTCCACTTGTGTGTGGTCCGGCTGTTCGGTTGTTGGTTCGGTAAACGAACACCATAGGCACAATCTATTCCGTAGTTCCATATATTGAACTGTAGAAGGGAAAAGGCACGAACAAAGACTTCCCCCAGTCCTGAATCCAGGTCTAATACATGGACCTTAATCCTGGGGGAAGATGTTGGCAATTAGGCCCCTCCAAGTGCCAGTGGCGAGGTTACTTTCGCCACATTTATATTGCAACACTAAGTGGGACAGGGACATTGTACCCAGACCACTTCAATAAGCTGAAGTGGTCTGGGTGCCTTTAGTTTCCTATTAACATGATTTTTCTCATGCGAAACAATGTATTACCTTACTGTACTTGTAATTCATTTTAGGGCATTTAAATCCATACAAAAATGAAACAGCAGCACTCTGTGTATGGGGTATCCATACGTGTCAGGATAACATGCCCTCTTATTGACGGGAACATTATCCATGATGTCAATGGAGTCACAGCTCTGCCCGCCCAAGATCAGACCTGCCAAAGTTATGTGGACTGCACTAAAAATACCATGACTTAAAGTCATGATTTGAAGGTTTTCTTTATTTATTTTTCCACCAATAACAAAGAAAAAACATAGAGAGAACATAACCATCAATCACAACTGGGGAAATAGTATGAAGGTTATATGCCTTCCACAGAGTTCCTGCCGAATGCTAACATCTCCAGAGCTATTGTAGATCCAAATAGGAACTTTGTCTGTAACCAACTAGGACCCAAATCTCCAGAACTAACTGGGATGCTAAACCATCAAGAACAATACTGTCTTCCATTTGAACTACGTCCAAATAAGGATGAAATCAGGCTGGAAATCAATCTTCCTGATTGCCTCCATGCAGCTCCACGAGGTATCATCCTGCCGGTCCCATTTTCCCCCTATGGTCTGGAGGGGGTTTTCTTGGCCCCCACTGGAGGGACCCGGTGCTATCTGATAGAGAGAAGAGTAACATACCATTCAACAGGACTACCTCGCTTTCGACCACAAAATGGCTGCCAAACAGGCCCAGCCAAATTCAACCTGGCCTGCAGTATACCTTGCCAGTGTCAGCACATGCAGAAATATGCAACATATTCGAGGACATGCTGAGCCAGCACACAGCTGTCCTAGCTATACTGCCACAGCTGATGGAGCAATGCGTACAGCCACACTCTGCCCTTTGTCTGAGAGCGCAATCCAGCTTCCGCAGACACTAACCTAGATCTCAAGCCTGAAGACTGAATCTTCGTATCATTGCCCTAAAGCCAGGAAAGTAATCTCTGACAAGTATGCCTACCATGGGAACCCGATGCGAGCTCATATATGGACCGGATCCGTGGGTGCCGGAAGAGGGCTCATGAGATGACCTGGAGCTTGTGAAGTGGCTAAGGCTGGACTTCTTTCCTCTCTAAGACTTTGCTTGAACACCAGGGGTAGGAGTGGGCTAAGGAGCAATTCACCAGGGCTAGCACAACCTCCAAAGAGGTCTGCAATGTTTATTCAAGGGAGCTCTGGTGGCTTTATATTTATGTTCTGCTATTTACTCAGTGACACTGAGTCGGTCCCCCATATTTTATTGTAATTCTGCTACCACCTGCCGTATATTTGTATGAAAATCTTTATTATGGATCAACGTAAGGGGTGGTTCTCTATTGTCCATCAGTTAGACACGCCTTGTGTATATATGGATACCTGTTTTATATGCCTCAATCTTTGGTGCACAACTGTTGATCTAATCTGCTATTGGTCTAACTCTCATATGTGCCTTCTCTGTTTGTTATAAAAACAAAAATGTACAGTATCTCCCGCCTATAAACATGTATGTTTTATTATTTGCACTACAAAAATAAAGAATTATATTTAAAAAAAAGTTATCTCTAAAAATTCTTACCTCTCCCACTCCTTCTTGCCCTGTTAGTAGCCCAAGAGCTAATTCTTTGTGTTTCCTGTTCCTGGTTTCTGATTTTGTCCATTTACACTATTCTCCTCATCTCTGGTATCCTTTGACCTTGGCTTGTTTAACTGTATCTCTCCTGTCTTTGACCTTGGCAATTTCTCTGACGGTGTGTGTGTATGGATGCATGTATTAGGCAGTGTGTGTTTATGGATGTACGCATTAAGCAATATGTGTGTATGGATGCATGTATTAGGTAGTATGTGTGTATGGATGTACGCATTAAGCAGTACGTGTGTAATGATGTACGCATTAAGCAGCAAGTGTGTATGGATGCATGTATTAGGCAGTATGTGTGTATGGATGTACACATTAAAGGACCACTATAGTGCCAGGAAAACATACTAGTTTTCCTGGCACTATAGTGCCCTGAGGGTGCCCCCACCCTCAGGGTCCCCCTCCCGCCGGGCTCTGGGGAGAGGAAGGGGTTAAAATCTTACCTTTCTTCAGCGCCGGGCGGGGAGCTCTCCTCCTCCTCTCCTCCTCTTCGGCTGAATGCGCATGCGTGGCAGGAGCTGCGCGCGCATTCAGCCAGTCTCATCGGAAAGCATTTATAATGCTTTCCTATGGACGCTGGCATCTTCTCACTGTGATTTTCACAGTGAGAAGCACGCAAACGCCTCTAGCGGCTGTCAATGAGACAGCCACTAGAGGCTTTAGAGGCTGGATTAACCCATTTATAAACATAGCTATGTTTATAAAAAAAGGGTTAACCCTAGCTGGACCAGGCACCCAGACCACTTCATTAAGCTGAAGTGGTCTGGGTGCCTAGAGTGGTCCTTTAAGCAGTATGTGTGTATGGATGAACGCATTAAGCAGTATATGTGTACGGAAGTACGCATTAAGCAGTAGGTGTATACAGAAGTCCGCATTAAAGGACCACTATAGTGCCAGGAAAACTCGTGGCACTCCCGTGGCGCTGAAGGGGGAGGAAGGGGTTAATCCCTTACCTTTTTTCCAGCGCTGGGCTCCCTCTGCGCTGGGACTCTCTTCCCTCTTCCGACGTCATCGGCTGAATGCGCATGCGCAGCTGCGCACGCATTCAGCCAGTCTCAATGCTTTCCTATGGATGCTGGCGTCTTCTCACTGTGAAAATCACAGTGAGAAGCGCGGAAGCGCCTGTAGCGGCTGTCAATGAGACAGCCACTAGAGGTTGGATTAACCCATAGGTAAACACATCTCTGAAACTGCTATGTTTACAGCAGAAAGGGTTAATCCTAGATGGACCAGGCACCCAGACCACTTAATCATTAAGTGGTCTGGGTGCCTATAGTGGTCCTTTAAGCAGTATGTGTGTACGAATGTGCTCATTAAGTAGTATTTGTATATGGATGCATGTATTAGGCAGTATGTGTGTGCGGATGTAGGTATTAGGCAGTGTGTGTGTATGGATGTATGCATTAAGCAGTATGTGTGTATAGATGCTGTATTAGGCAGTATGTGGTTATGGATGTAGGTATTAAGCAGTATGTGTGTGTGGATGTACGCATTAAGCAATGTGTGTATGGATGTAGGTATTAGGCAGTGTGTGTATGGAAGTAGGTATTAGGCAATATGTGTGTATGGATGTATGTATGAAGCAATATGTGTCTATGGATGTAGGTATTAGTCAGTATGTGTGTATATCTGTAGGTATTAGTCAGTATGTGTGGGTGTAGGTATTAGGCAGTGTGTGTGTATGGATGTACGTACATACGTACGTACGCATTAAGCAGTATGTGTGTATGGATGCATGTATTAGGCAGTGTGTGTGTGTATGGATGTAGGTATTAAGCAGTATGTGTGCATGGATGTAGGTATTAAGCAGTATGTGTGTATGGATGCATGTATAAGGCCGTATGTGTGGATGGATGTACGCATTAAGCAGTATGTAAACGCATGTACGCATTAAGCAGTATATGTGTACGGAAGTACGCATTAAGCAGTATGTGTGTACGAATGTAAGCATCAAGCAGTATTTGTATATGGATTAACCCCTTAAGGACACATGACATGTGTGACATGTCATAATTCCCTTTTAATCCAGATGTTTGGTCCTTAAGGGGTCCACAGGTACTTTACAGGACAGCCGGCGTAGGAGGAAGGGAGAGCGCAGAGGACATGGCTCACAGCTCCGCCGGGTTCATCTCGCATGGTCGGAGCGTTGGCATGGCAATGCTCCGATCTCGCAAGAGTGAATTCCAGGAGCTGTGAGCTCACTCACCACTATGGCCACCATGGACTTCCCACCGGACCATCGGGGGGGGGAGGTCAAAGACCCCCTCCCAGGCAAAGGTAAGAAGGGAGGGGGGATATAAGCTATATATTTATTTTAAAAACCAAACAAAACATATATATTTATATTACTCTAATCTTCCTCCTACTGCACTGCAAACACACAAATTCTAACTGCAACCCCCACACACAAATACTGCAACCCAAACACACACACTGTACCCTAAACACACACACACACACACTCTAACTGAACCCCAAGCACACACACTCTAACTGCACCCCAAACACACACTCTAACTGCACCCCTCATACACACACACTGCACCCCAAACACACACACTGTAACTGCACCCCTCACACACACTGCACCCCAAACACACACACTGTAACTGCACCCTCACACACACACTGCTCCCCTCAAGCAGGCTCCAAACACATGCACAATACCCTTTCCCGGCCCTTTTGTCCTCTGGTATCTCACTTATGGAGACACCAGAGACAAGTCCAGTGGTAAATCCTGGTTCTGTGCTGCCCTAGGCATGACTAAACTCAGGCACTCTCCCCCTACCCCCCACCCTGCTTTTTAAATACACATACACACTCACTGACAGACACATATACACTCAGTGTCAGACCAGACACACACATTCACTGACAGGCACACATACACTAGCTACCAGACATGCACACTCACTGACAGACACACATACACACTCACTAACAGACACACATGCTCACTAACAGACACATACAGTCACTAACAGACACACACAGTTACTAACAGACACACACTCACTAACAGACACGCATACACTCTCACTAACAAACATGCATACACACTAACAGACACACATACTAACACACTCACTAACAGACACACATACTCACAAACTAACACACTCACTAACAGACATACACATACTAACACTCACTAACAGACACACACATAGTAACACACTCACTAACAGATACACGCACACACACACACACTCACACTAACAGACACACACAGTCACTAACAGACACACACTCACTAACAGACATGCATACACTCTCACTAACAGACATGCATACACACTAACAGACACACACACTAACACACTCTTAAACAGACACACACACACACTAACACATTCACTAACAGACACACACATAGTAACACACTCACTTATTGACACACACATACACTAACAGACACACACATGGTAACACACTCCCTAACAGACACACACACTTACAGACACACACTAACAGACACACACACAAACAATCTCACACTTTTTTTTAAATTCAATCCCCCCAGCCTCCCTACCTTTGGAAGTGCTGGGATGGATTCTCAATTTCCCTGGGATCCAGTGGGGCTGCTGGGCTGGCCGGCCGGTCACTGCAGTCAGCGAGGGAGCACTGAGCCTCCTGTTCAGCTCCTTTGCGCACTGCGTAGTGATGCCGGGGCCGGATTGACATCATATTGCGGCTCCGGCATCACTGCGGTGCGCGCAAGGGAGCTGGACAGGAGGATCAGTACTCCTTCGCCACCCGTCCGGAAAGTGCCGCCGCAGTTGTCAGGGGGCTTGCTTGTAATTGGTGATGACAAAACACACCCCTCTCTGGCCCCTCCTCCTTCTCAGTGGGCCGCTGTTTTAAAAATGCCCAGGCCGGATTTTTTCCCGAGTCCGGCCGTGCTGACGAGGCTCGAAGAAGGACAAAATCAATTGTCTGGTTTTACTGTATCTCTCGTGCAAAAAGAAATTGCCAGAATTTTGGATCTGGACTGCCCTTATGAGTGGGATCAATATGATATGCAAATATTATATGTGCTGTCATCAATGGCACAACTGAGCAAAAACTATTTTTGAGATCTAGGCGGGGACTAACAAAAGGGTAAGTTACTGAGTTTCTCTAAGCTCTTTCCCGTTTCAGAATTCTAATATTCTCTGTTTTTGCTTCAATGCATTTTCTTAGTTAAAAGGGTAAAGAAGAAGTAAACACCATATTTCTTGTGTCTAGAGGAGGATTAGCTACAACTTGCTGACGAGGCTGAAAGAAGGCCGAAACAATCGTCCGGGGTTGCTGTATCTCTAGTTCAGAGGGTA